CAGCACCATGCTGTTTTTATCACAGTAGCTTTGTAGTATAGTTGCAAGTTGGGGATTGTGACACCCTCTCTGATCCCTTCTTGTGTGAGTGGGTCCTAAATAAAGCCCCAGGTGCCTCGCTGTGAACGTGCACATTCCACTTGGTAAGAAGTCCTGTGGAAGGGCCGGGATGAAGCTCAGTGATTCTAGTGCCTGCCTTGCAAGCACAAGGTCCAGAGTTCAATCCCGGGACCAAAAAGAAAAGGTCATGTGGGAGCCAAACAGTGTGGAGCTGTGCTTTTACACTTGGAGGACCTTTTTGGGAAGGGAGCATTGGAGTTTTATTAGACGGATCATTCTTGGAATAATGTAGTTTTTTTTCCTAAAAGAATGGACATTACTTCAACCACTAAAAAATTTCCCTACCTTTGAAGAACCTTTAGGGGCATCTTTAAGAATATAGTTATGTATAGATACTAGATAATTTTTATTTTTTATGGTACTGGGCACTGAGCTACATACCTAGCTCCCTCTTTTAAATTATTTTTGAATAATAATAATAGTCGCTAAGTTGCCCAGGGTGGGCTTGAACTTGTTGTGACCTTCCTTCCTCAGCCTCCCAGAGGGATTATAGGCATGAGCCATCATGCTCAGCTCCATGTCACATGTTTTAAAAGTTACCAGGGGCAGAGCTGCTTGTCTAGCAGGCACTAGGGCATGGAGGGAAAAAACAGTATCAAAAGAACTTTGCTTCATAAGGAAATTTCTTATATGAAGGCTGATACTCTGAAAGGACCTAAATGCGGCGTTGTCTTTTTAGATAGACTTTACTTTCTGCAGTGTGCCTGTGGGTCTTTGAGTCTTTGGAGCCTGTCAGCTAGAGCCTTCACACTGCTAGCTGTCTGGAACACCTTCAAAATGAGCGTAGTCAAAGGGCAGCTTTGGGGGATTGCAGGAAACTTACAGGGCTATGGGGCCTTTTAGATTTTTTTTTTTTACTGAGGCTCTATTTTACTTAAATATATGGAGAGAAATTATACACTATAGTTGTCCTAAACTTTTTACATTTGGTTTTAACTGATTTTCAGGCGTTTCGTTCTTAGCTGCCATGTAAGGTGGAAAGTACACAGAGCCTCGACGCACTGGGGATGTCCTTGAGACCCATCGAGGGGTCCGTGTGTGGATGCACGCTCTGGGCCCCGAGTCCTTGCTCCGCAGGGTTCGTGGTCAGTGGGGAGCCAAGGCCACGCCTTTCCCCGAGGCTCTGCTAGCTATCTGTACTGAGTCCCGGGGTGCAGTTTATACCTCCGTTCACACCTTTGTTTATTTCCAAGAAAGGAACAAGATAGGACACTTTCCCTGTTTGGTATTTCTGTGAGGAAAGTGCTTGCCTGTCCTGGTCACAGTTTAACGCCGGCGTCCCCTTCCTTCCTGGTGACTGCTTGGTCCCTAGGTGTCCGCAATGAAATGTGGCCTCCTTCCGATCTCCCCGGAGGCTCTCTCCCTTGGAGAAGTGGCATATCATGACTATCACGGAATTCTGGTGGATGAGGAGGAGAAGGTGTTGATTCAGAAAAACCTGGGGCCTAAGAGCAAGGTCAGTAGGTGCCGCCTCTGGGCTTGCAGTTCTGGGGAGGGAGGAGCTCAGGAAGCTGGGTCTGCTTGCTGGTTCCACAGAGCGCCCTGCTCCTCTGCAGGTGCTTATTCTGAGGAACCACGGGCTCGTGTCTGTCGGAGAGAGCGTGGAGGAGGCCTTCTACTACATCCATAACCTGGTGGTGGCCTGCGAGATCCAGGTAGGCGATGGCTGCCCTCTTTGGTCTGCAGTTGGTGTAGCTCTCTCGAGTTCTATAGATCCTTGACGGTTGTCTGGCAGGAGTGAGCTGTTGCATAGTCTGCCAGAGAGGAGCTCATGAGTTTGGGCTCAGCCAGGACAAGTGCCATTTTACTGACTTAAGTCACAGAGATTGCTGGGCTTTTCATTTGTAATTTTTTCTTTTTCAAATAATGTAAGTGATTAGCATTCGTAGAGTACTGGTGTGCACCAGGCCTCATATCAAGTGCCTTACTTTGTTTGACCCTCACATTCCTTCTGGAAAAGCAGGAACAGAGGTAGACTCGCCCTGTGTCCGCTGTGATGCCCCCGTGCTGGTCTGCTTGGCCCCAGGCTCCTGCTCTGCCCTGATCCTAGCTTATGTCTGTGGGCCCATGAGGTCCCAAGACCTTGGGGTCCAGAAGGCTGCTTTGTTTTCCCATTCACTACCAAGTATTAGTGCCCCATATTTTTGCCATGCTAAGGAAAAACTTCTGAAAATGACCTTATGGTCGGTGCTCTCACCATCCACCCTCCGTGTTAGTCCCACACGTAGGGGCTTGCTCTCTGTTGAAACCTACATTTCTGTCCAAGTGTCCCCCGGTCATCTGATCTCTTGGTCTCTGTTTGGAACTCAAGCCATCGTGTTTGCTTGTTTTGGAAAAGGTTCGAACTTTGGCCAGCTCAGGAGGACCAGACAACTTAGTTCTGCTGGACCCTGGGAAATACAAAGCCAAATCCCGTTCCCCGGGACCCCCAGTGGAGGAAGGCAGCGGGTCACCTCCCAAATGGCAGATTGGGGAGCAGGAATTTGAAGCCCTCATGCGGATGCTGGATAATCTGGTAAGAATGGTGCTCTAGCCGGTGACAAAGCTTTCATTGTAAAGACACAGATGTCGGTGCCATTACCACAAGTGAAATGGCCATCTTCATGCTTTTCTGAATGATTTCACCCTCAAAAATTATGAAAGCTGGGGATTTAGCTCAGTGGATCCGCCACCTGTCATGCAAGCGCAAGGTCCCAAGTTTGATCCCTGTTACAAAAAAAACAACAAAAAAATTATCATGAAGCATGTTTTAAAAAATTTAGTATGGGTGTGCAGTATATAATGATTACGTTCATCATGGGACATGGGTACATGTAAAGGTTTTTTAACTGCTAGGCTAAATCATGATAAAATACAGAGGTCAAGGTTTTTCACATTATCCTGTTTTTTCAAGATGACGTGACGTTTGGGCTCAGTGGGGACAGGAGCACAGAGCATACTCCGCAGTGGCTGCTGGGTAGCCAGCAGGCAATGCAGCACTGACCTCCCACAAGCCAGCCACGAGGGGCTTTCTCAAGCAGCCAGATGTGGGTCTGTTTTGCTGCTTGGTTCTGCCTTCATGTCCCAGCCATCTGTCTGCTCCAGGGCAAGTGCATAGTGCTGCGCAGGCCTGGCTGGAAGTGGTCTGCATTAGAGGTTGGAGCGAGGGATTTTGTCCCTTTGCAAAGATTAGGGAGAAAGCTTTCTGTAGAAGGTGGCCCTTGGAAATGACCCCAAGGGACAGGCAGGAGCCTGATAGGCTGAGTGAAGAGAAGGAATGCATCTGTGCAGACACAGCCCGGGGGGATAGGAGTGTTGGTGCAAGGGAGCTTTCAGGTCTCTCTTGGAAGTTGCCAGCTCCTGCACATAGTCACTTCCCTGGGTCCTGATTGGAGCACTGTCTGGAAGTCACGGCCCACATGCAGTATGAGATGAGCTGCCCTGCAGCGGGGTCCGTCTTATGCCAGGGACAGGACACAGGGCCTGCCTTAGGGATTCATGGCCCATAGGGGAAGTGGACAGGCCTCAGGTACAGCCCTGTCCGTGTGATCTGTTCAGTGACTGCAGTGGTCTATCTGTGAGCTCCAGAGGCGGGGGTGGGAGCCTGATGCCGGCACTGCTCAAGGGAAGCAGGGAGAGGAGCAGAAGCTAACAGGGAGACAGAAGAAGCAGTAGCAGTGCAGTGGTGGCCAAGGAGGTATCACTTCAGCAAAGTCACCCCAAGGCAAGGGGTGCTGAGCTGGCCCAGCCGCACAGCCCCTCCCTTCCCCTTAGTACTTTGACACCTCCCCTCTTTTCTACCCCGAAGTCAGTCGTGTGAGGAAGGGGGAGAAGATGAGAATCAAGAAGAGCACCCTGCATATATCGTCTAGGAGCTGGATGGAGGAAGTCGAAACGAGGCAATAACTCTGCTCTAAAGGGAGAGGAAGGTGCACGGTGGAGGAGCAATAAGGGAAACTTTCCTCACCAAGAGTGCATGTATCAGTGTCTCTAATCTGCAGATGATCAAAGGTGACTTCTAATATGAGAGCTCTGTGCAGCCTGATAGGCATGAACTGGACATTCATGGACCCTAGCCGGGTTTTAGTTAGCATCTGATCAGCCGCATCTATTGTTTGCTGATAATTGGGTTAGGTGGAGAATAGGTGAGATTCCACACTAAGAAACACTTCCTCTTTAACATGTACACCTACAGGGAATGCTAAATTGGCTCCCAAAACAAGATATAACTTCAGTTTCTCCAAGGAGGAACAAGTGCACACACGTTACACATGTATGTAGTGTGTACATGCATGTGTGTTGGTTGCTGGGTACTGAACCCAGGGCCTTGTGCATGCTCAAGCACACATTCTACTACTGAGCCACCCCTCCCCATGTCTGTAGCTAGAAGCCTGATCGGGTTTTAGTGTTTTTAACACTGCCTCTCTCCTTGGTGTGGTGGCGTCTAGAGGGAAGCTCTAGAAGGGTCAGGTGATGTCCAGGCCGGGGCTGTGTCCTCCAGTCCCAGGGCAGACTCAGAGCCTGGGCTCCAGAGAGTGGAGAGCTGAGGAGGTATGAGCGGTGTTTCTGGAGACCGTCTGTTTATGGCTGAGTCATTCTCTTTTATTAGCCCTCAACAAAGCACACTCACAGTGGAAAATTCCCAATAACGACACTTTCCTGTCTTTCTGAGGAAAGTTTTGGAAACAAAATAAAAAATGGCCCCCTAGTGATTATTAACCCTTTTTTGTGTGTGTATTAAAGGAGGGGACCCCCCCCCCAAAGAGGAGTAGAATCCAGAAGGAAGAGAAAGAGAATCAATCTTTCCCTCCCTCCCTCTCTTCTTTTCTATTTCTTTTTTCCTTCTTCTGGTGGGGTGTTTCTGAGAGAGGCTCATGTTGCCCAGGCTGGCTGGCCTCGAGCACCTGGACATAGGTAGTCCTACCTCAGTCTTCATAGGAGCTTGGCTCCAGGGTTGCCCCACGTTGCTGGGGGCAGTGCTGCAGACTCCTGGCCACAGGGTGCAGCCTCCGAGTGACTGTGCGTGTCCCTGTGGCCCCGTGTTTCCCTTGGAGCCCAGGTCCCCTTGTCATGCTGTGCAGTGCTGTGAGCAGCCGCAAAGTGTGTGTCTCTTGGGTCATTTGACCAGCACTTGCCTGGAAGCCACTCTGTCACTGCTGTGTGCTACCCACTTGTTACTTGCTGGTTTCTGTGGGGCAGGAGTCCAGGCGAAGCCGAAAAAGCTCAGGGAGGCACAGAGCTGCAGGTAGGTGTGGGCTGTGGTGGCTGCTTCCTCATCAGAAGGCTCCACTGCCGGAGCATTGGTTCTTGAGGACCCAGCTCTCCACAGGGCAGTGTGGGAGGGCGCTTGCTTCAGAGTTGCAAGACAGTGCTTGGCTTTGGAGTAGTATAGCCCTTTGCCACCTGCAAGTTCTGCTGGTTAGAAGCATCAGAGGTGGCTTCTGGATTTGCTCTGTCAGGAGAGCTGCAGCTGTGCACTTTAGCATTTGTCAGAGCTTCTTTTCTGAGTGGCACAGGGGCGCACACCCGTGACCCCAGCACTTCAGGAGACTGAGGCTGGCATTACAAGTTCTAGGCCTACCTGAGCACCCTGACAATTTAGCAAGATCTTGTCTCCAAAATTTAAAAAAAAAAAAGCCTGGGCTGTAGCCCAAGTTGGATTCCTATACTGCGCACACCCTGTCTTCCGGCGCTTCTGTTGGCCACGTGCTCAGGCGTGGCATCGTGAGGCTTCTTCTACGTGTTGCACTTTGCAGTCTTCCAAAGGGAACCCCGTTGATGAGCTGGCCTTCTGACCGCCCTCCCTGTCTCTGTCTCCAGGGCTACAGAACCGGTTACCCTTATCGATATCCTGCTCTGAGAGAGAGGTCTAAAAAGTACAGCGATGTGGAGGCTCCCGCCAGTGTCACAGGTTGCTCCTTCGCCAGTGATGGCGACTTGGGCACCTGCTCCCCTCTCAGACACAGTCTTCAGAAGCAGCATCGGGAGAAGACAAGGTGGCTGAACTCTGGCCGGGCCGATGAAGCTTCTGAGGAAGGGCAGAACGGAAGCAGCCCCAAGTCGAAGACTAAGGTGTGGACGAACATTACACACGATCACGTGAAACCCTTGCTGCAGTCTCTCTCGTCCGGTGTCTGCGTGCCAAGCTGTATTACCAACTGCTTGGTCTGTGCCTACTTACTGTTCATAGTTAGATGACGTAGAGCGAGTCGGGCAGCTGGGGCTTCAGAGGCTTTGGGACCCAGCCCGCTGGCTGGATCTGCCAGCCTTGTCTTACTAACTCGCTTTTCTCTAAGTCCAAGTCTACTTCGTGCCTTAGCCGAAATCTAAGTAATGCTCTCCACGTGAAACTGCTTAAGATGTAAGACCCTTCTGCTCACTCCCCGTAGCCTGTCTACGCACTGGCAGAGCACTCAGAACTCACACGCCTTAACCCAAAAATAGAGCACTCGGTACTGAGTCTGAGAACTCAGTGTTTCATGATCACACAGCTCACTCAGTCACAGGTCTGAGGCCCGAGTGTTGCCAGCTCCAGGGGCTCCGCTCTTCTCTTTGGTCGCTAGTGTTGTCTTAAGCAGTTTTCCCTCTCCGTGCCCCAGCCCGCTCTCCACCAGCCCTGTCTTCTCTCGATGTTGCTTCTTGCCCCTGTCCCAAAGCCTCCGAACGCTCAGCCAGCTGCCCTCTGCATGGACTGTTGCATGTGAGTAGATGGCTGTGGAGGCGAGTCTTCGGCTCCCCTGGGTGCGGCATGACCCAAGTGCAGTGGAGGCCATCCGCAGGCACCACCACGGCGCTGCCGGGCACCAGTGCCTGCCCCACAGGGCGCCATGGCCCACAGAGGACAGGTCTCCACAGTCCCACAGGCGAGGCCCGTCCCGCAGCCCAGGGCCCTACGGGTGCTCAGCAGCCCAGTGTTCTCAAGCAGTGGCCAAGCAGACAGCGAGCTTTTGTTACAGTGCCTTTATTTTATAGACTTTAAAAAGAGAAGCAAAAGGCTTGTTTCCCCCAGGTGGCTCTGGTGCTTCCCGGTGGGCAGTTGTGAGAAGCCCTTGTGCCCCTGTGCAGCTCACATGGGCATGCGTGGGACCCTGCGGGCTGGGACTCAGAGCGAGGGGGGTGGCTGTTCTCCCGCCTCCCACTCTCCCTCTTTTCTTTTGTTTTACCTGTGGAGAGGAGCAGACAAACCCCTGTCCAGTGCTCTGCACCTTGCCCAGTGCGTCTTTCTGGGCCCGCAGTGCAGGGCTGAGCCCTGTGACTTAGCCTGCAGAGGCCCAGCCACTCTAGGCATGTGGGTCTGTGTGCCCCAAGGGGCTTTGCTCAGCTTCTCGGTCTGCCTCTCCCTGTCTGCAGTCACTCAGGTCCCCGCACAGTGCGCCCAGGTTGGTATATTTTAATTTCTACAATTCTTGTTAGTTTTTAAAATGTGTTCCTACTTCTGAGGTGGCTGTTCTCATGTCTGACCAAAAGTTATTTGTAATAAGGCTGGAGTTGTTTTTCTGAGAAGATGGCCATCAGTGAGTACCTGCAGCTCCATGCCCATTCCTCACTCCCTCAGCGGCTCAGCATCTGACTGTTGCGTTGCTTCCTTGAAAGTCACATGATTGATGACTCTGCTGCCTCTTGGAGGTGTTCTGAAATGTAGAGAACCTTTGCTCTCTACGGTGGCTCGTTTTAATCTTCAGTGCCTACTCATGCCTAAAGATGAGAATTTGACTAAAAATCGCAGATTCGATTGGAGATCCAAAAGCATCCTTCTGTGTGGAAGGCTCGGTGTGCTGAGGATATGCACTGATACCTAAAACAGCCTTTAAGGCCTCATGAGGTGCTTCAGGGGGACCCAGGGTATTTTTGTAACACTGAAAGCATTACGTTGTATAAAATATTCGACATCACCAAACTCTTCGGCCAGCTAGCTACTGTATGGGTGCAAATGCAGTAAGTATTTTGGGTCGAAGCATTATGCAAGCCATGCGTCCTGATCCCCTCGTTTACTTTAATGCGAAACTTCGGTGATGCCCACTCCTGCCCCAGTCCCACTTCCCTACCCCGGGCAGTAGCATCACATTGCTTCTCATGATCCTGTCATCTCACGCTTCCAGTTGGCTTTGATGTGGGTGACTCTCAGGGCGGTGAACCAATGGTCTCTGAGGGGCCTCCCCTGGCTGGCCTGAGGGTGACAGGGCTAGGCTCTGTTGTTGGCCCGCATTGTGCCTTAGGTTTCCACCGGGCTGTTGAGATGAGCCTTTGCCATTGGCCATGACTCTGACACCCGTCATTCACTGGTTTTCACGTGGCCACATCCCACTCCCACGGTGACTCTGCTGAGTGACCGAGGACACATGGTCATTGGTTCAGTCCTCTCTGTGATGTTCTGTGCATGACCAGATGTGAGGTCGGTTGGACAAAGTGGATGCTAGGATGTTGCTTATTGTTGTCATAATCCTGACATTTCATCTGTTCTTGAAATTACAGTGGACTAAGGAGGATGGACATAGAACTTCCACCTCTGCTGTCCCTAACCTGTTTATTCCATTGAACACTAACCCAAAGGAGGTCCAGGAGATGAGGAACAAGGTGCGTCCTCTGTCTGTGTGGTGGGGGCAGGGGTGTGGGCTGGGAGGGGTGCTGGCTGCTGTGGGGTTCATGCATGCTGGCTTCTAGCAGAGGAAGCCCTTTCTTCACACTGCTGCTGCTGTTCCACCAGTGTGCAAAGTGTCAGCGCAGACACTTGGACTCCTGACCTGGTACTTGCCCGGTAGCAGGTCTGATCCTAGCGAGAGGAGACAGCTGCTGCCCTGCTTTCAGGGTTCATTTAGAGTTGCGAAGGGATCTCAAGCATTGGATGTGTCAGGACATGAGCTCCATACGTGTTCATGGTGTCCCTGAAGATGGGCATGTAGAGAGTATTTCCCCTGCCAAGTTAGTACAGCTAGGGACTTGTGCCCTGCCAGAGACCCTGCCTGCAGAGCAGGATGGCCGGCACCATCAAGCAGGCAGCCCTGCCACCTGGGCTGGCCAGAGCAGAAGTGCGGTGTGTGACTAGTGTTGGCGTGGCTTCTCTGTATTGTTGATGTGCGTGTCTCCTCCTTCCTTCCTCAGATCCGAGAGCAGAACTTGCAGGACATTAAGACGGCCGGCCCTCAGTCCCAGGTTCTGTGTGGTGTAGTGATGGACAGGAGCCTCGTCCAGGTGAGCGCTCAGAAGGTCTCTGGCAGTAGTGGGTGGTGACTAACCGTCTGCTCCAGAGTTGTTCTTTACTTGGCTGAGCGTGATTTTATGAGGTGAGTACCCTAGGCAACTGGGCATCTTTGTTAAAATCTTCCTGACAGCCCAGCCACATCCCTGGAGTCGGAGATGAGCGGAGCATGCAGCGGGCCGCACCCATCCCCAGCCCTGCTCCTGGTAGTGCATGCATCCCTGCGGGCACACATGCTGCCAGCTTTGGGGCAGGCACGCAGTGTTGCCAGGGTGCCGTGGAAGTGCTAGGAGAGGGGGTTTGTGGACCACCATACTCAACATCTGCAACAAGTGCTGCTTGGGTGGTTGGGTGGGTGGCCCACATTAGCGTGCGTTTCTGTAAAGGCCTCCTAGTGGCACAGTGAAGATAATGTGTAAGTAGTTATGGCTGAACCTCACCGTGCCACCGACGCTTTCCAACCTGACTCCGCAGGGTACGCGAATGGTGCTGCATTTTCTGAATTGGGCCAGCTATGGGCCTAATTTTGTGTTCAGCGTCTGCACGCCCTGCTGTCATCGTGCCACATTCACCATTGACCATGTCCTCGCTGCATGCTCTTAGCTGGTTTCATCCTGTGCTCTCAGGTGGTATTTCCAAGGCTGGGGCTGGTGTGCTCTGGTGACTCGGTTTACTGTTGCAGGACGCACCCCTCTCTGACTGTACGGAAACTATCGAAGGGCTCGAGCTTACAGAGCAGACCTTTAGTCCCGCTAAATCTCTCTCTTTTAGAAAGGTACTCACTGCCCTGTCCTTCCCTCCTGTCGGTACTCGGTGCTCCTCCTCCCTGCTCCCCACCCGCCTCCCTCTCAGGTGCTGAGTTTCTCGGGCACCTCACAGGGGCTTGCAGTCATCTATCTGCGAGGGCGTCCAGAGGGGAGAGTCTGTCCATGTTCTCCTTAATTAAAAATGTCTGGTATGAGGTATTTGTAGGTGTCAGCGTTTGAAGTTGTTGCTGAGAAGTGGCTGGTCTGCAGGATGTGGTGCTCCTCCCAGGTTCTGTGTGTGGCTGGCTAGTGCGTGCCTTGGGCTGCAGTTTGCTCTGTGAGAGGCCGAGTGCAGGTGGGCGTCTCTGGGCTCTGCCAGCAGTCTCGGCTCCTGCATGACATCTCCCTCCTTGGTCATCTGTGACCCTAGCAGTTGGAGTCTATGTCATTGAAAGATGTTATTTCAGAGGAATGAGATATAAGACAGTGTCACCCTTCACTGATAAAAATGCATTTATTAAAAATGACCTGAGCTGGAAAATAAGAACCAAGAGACTCATATAATGGTACAAGATCCCAATGATGAATGTAACTGTACTTTATACCTAAAATGTACCAATAAAGTTAATGGGGAAAAAAAAAAAATGAACTGAGCTGGAAAAGGTGGTGCACACCTGTATTCCCAGCTATTCTGGAGGGTAAGGCAGGAGGATCGTAAGTTGGAGGCCAGCCTGGGAAACTTAGGCCCTGTCTAAAACCAAAACATAAAAGGACGTGGGTGCAGCCCAGTGGTGAAACGCGTGCCTGGCACACACAAGGCCTGGAGCCCATCCCCATTCCGAGACAAGTGAAGAAAGCCCACAGATAGTTTCTTTGAGATTGCAGGGGAGAGGACTGGTGAACTTTTTCAAGCCCAGGTTGTAGCTGCTTGGTGTGCATGCACACATAGTGTGTCCAGTAGGTGGAACCTGGTGTGACCGCCCACTCTGGGGACAGGTGTGTGCAGGACTTGGTGCCAGGGCAGGTTGCTTCTGACTGCATAGTGTGGAGTTGTTGGTGTGTGCCGTGTGTCCATGGGATGCTTCAGGGGTGCTGCTTCCACTCTGAATGCCTTCAGTGAGACCGAAGACCACTCTTGTGGTGGAATTGCTAGCTAGGAGTAGGTCTGTACCGGGAGTCTGTATTCCTGCTTAGAATGTTAATGTGCATATTTATGTATTAATTCAATGGGTCCCTTTTCTTCTGGCCCTTAGAAGGTTCTTCCCAGTATCATTCTTGGAGCAGCTTCTCCAGAAAGGCAGGAAGATGTACACTGTCCTGTCCACGTGTCGTCGGTGTTGGTGCCTGGTGTGCCTGCTGTGGTTTTCCTGGTCACTGCCACCTTGAGTTTGTGGGTGTGTGGTCATGAGCCCAGGTGCTGTGTGTGTGTCACAGAGGACTCTTCAGCACTGCAGTGCATTTGGTGGCTTTTGTCTGTGGCCACGTGGAAAGTGGCCGACCAGCTGTGTCACAGAATGCGTTTTGGGCTGGTTCCTCATCCAGTTACAGCCTGGTTTGCTCTGGCCCAGAGGTGTTCAGATGTGGGTGTGTCAGTCCCCCTGGTGTTTCAGGAGTAGACACAGGGTTCCCCCAATCTGTGCGGATGTTTTCTGTGCCTATCCCCGGAGAACACACGCCACGCTGGCCCCAGGTGAAGAGATGTGGATGTCCTAGACCTAATTATTTCATTCATAGTGCTGGGGATGAGACCCCAGACTGGTGTGTGCTAGCAAGTGCTCTCCCGCTAAGCCCCACCCCTAGTTTGTCTATAAGTCTAATGCTAGCTTTTGTGCTTGTTACCTCTCTGTTTCTGAGTTCACATTTGCATTTTGATCTGTTCTGTCTTGACTACTCATATTTCATTTTTGTGGTGAGAATGTGCTTTGGTTTCATAGATGGCCTTACTGGGGCTGTTATTTTGTTACTCACCACTTCCTTTTGGTGAGCCTCAAAATGCAGGCAGCCTTGACCCTTGTGGAACATGGTGCTGCTCTCTGACAGCCAGGGTTTCCCCTTGAGCCAGGGAGAGGATGGTGTCCTGAGCCCCCTCCCAGTGAGGCAGACGTGCAGGTTCCTGCTTCGGCCTGAGAGCCTGGTAAGGCTGGGCTGTGTGAAGGGATCCTCTTGGCCTGCGGTTTCTCCCTCACTGCGGTGGCCATTTACACGGCACAGGGTGACCTTCCCATAGAAAGGGCAGAGGGAACAGTGTGCCCACGTGAAAACTCTCTTCACCTGGGCTCTCACGCAGCCAGACACCAGCCCTGAGAGAACTGTGGCTGCCACTGGCTCTTATTGCATATGGGTGGTGTGGTCAGAGAGAAGCAAGGACGCTGGGGTCCGAGTGCCCATCGCCGTGGCTGTAGCCCTCATGCCGTGTGGGAGAAGTGCACTGAGGCAGTGGTCCTGGCTCTCAGGCTTTCTGACCTTGTGAGGAGCAGCCAGGCTGTGTGTGGCCCTAAGACCAGGATTATCATTCAAATGTGAGTCGGTCTCCTCCTCAGAAGGGCTCCTCCTCCTCCTCCTCCACTCAGGACTGAACCAAGGGCCTTTGCACTGAGCTGCATCTTCAGCCTTTTTTTGGGGGGAGTACCGGGGATCAAACTCAGGACCTTGCGCTTGTGAGGCAGGCACCGGAACCACTGAGCTAAATCCCTGGCCCACTTCGGCCTTTTTTTGTTTTCATTTTGAGACAAGGTCTCACTAAGTTACCACCCACACTGCCTCAGTCAGGACAGAAGTAAGTATTGGGTGTCTGTGCTGCTTGAAGTCCTTGGTAGGCGACCGAGAGGGAAGACACCATCCAGAGCCGCCCCTGCTGGAGGGACCGGCCACCTGCCATCCTGCTTTCCCAGCAGGCCTGCCCCTTCCCTCCCTGTGGTCCATATCTGCTCACAGCTGGCCCAATAGCAGCTTGGCCCTTGCCAGCAGAGGGACCTAGTGTGGTTCTTGTTGAACTGTCTCACCATGCAGGCTCTGCTTGCCCTCTGGGATGTCAAGATGGAAACAAGCCAGATGTGGTAAGCATGCCAGTGCTCCCAGCTATGTGGGAGGATCGAAGGTTCAAGGCCAGTGAGGGCAATTTAGCAAATCAGACCTTGTCTCAAAAGTTTTAAAGAGCTGAGCGCTTAATGGTAGAGACCTGCCCAGCCTGTGTGTGGCCTGGGTTCCATTCCCAGCACCACAAAAAACAAATCAACGCAAAACAAACTTTGAACAAGGGCTCTCATGGCTCAGTGACGGGAGATTGGTGACATTTTAGTCCTTTACTAATTTTGGACATTTGACTTAAATGAGTTTAGGCCTCTCAAGCCTCCTGTCACCTTGCCAGTGACAGCAGGATACAGGCCATTGACAGAATGCCGTCGCTTGAAGGGATTTTGGCATTCAGGAGCCCAGTAGACTCCTCTTGCTAGTCGTAAACCCAGGTGCCGCTGGTCCGTGCCGCTGGTCCGAGATTCACAGTGCTATCTCTCTGTGGTGGGGCTGCTCCTAAATGACAGGCACCCTCAGGTCAGGCGAGTTGGAGAGGGTGTCTCCTGGCTAGGAGTCCCCAGGCATTCAGCTGTCCCGCAGGCCCCTCCCCCGCCCCTTCTTCTGGCCTCTGTGTTGCTGGCCAGGAGCGGAGCTCTGTAGACCCCTGCCCAGTGTCCTCCACAGTGAGCGCCCAGCCCGAGAGAGCAGTGGCAGTGTGGGTTCGCCCCAGGCGCGTGGGGGCCTCCTCCCTCAGAGGCCCGCCCTAGAGTCTGGCCTGGCGTCTCAGTGGTCGCCGGCCTGTGTGTGTGTGAGGCTGTGAACCCGATCACCCAGCCCCCTTCCTTCCTCCAGCCCAGAAGGCTGAGCTGTGGGCAAGAGCTGCCCTGGGACAGGGCACGGCCGCCTCTGTGGCCGCCTGGTGGTGCCCTGTGCTGCTCCTTGTGTCCCTTTGTGGTTGTAGCCTAGGAGCCCCTTTGGTGCGTTGCTTTGCTTGCTTGCTTTTTTTTTCCTTTTATACAGATTCTGATGGCTTTCTGAATCCTTAGGCACACCTGGGTGCTTTGGGGCATCTTGTTATTCCAGGATGTTTTGGGATAGGTTCAGGGGCTGATTGTCACCCTGTACAGGCAGAACTCTCTGTGGCACTGTCTGACGTCACAGGGACGGGAGAGGGGCCAGAGGGCTCCTCTGGCGCTCTGGGCAGCAGGAGGATGGTCTGCACCTTGCACCTGTGCTGTTTGTGCTTTTAGACATGAAGGACATGTAGGGTTTCTTCTGTTAGGTTGGTTGTGAGACAGTGAACTGTTGCCATGTCTTCTACCACTAAAGGCTGCAGCTCAGCCTACCCCTTGGGCCCCTGCCAGTGCAGTCTTGGGGTGTCTGTCTGCTACTGAAAAGCCTCCCCCTGCCTGCAGCCTGCCCGGGAGGAGGGACAGTCCCTACTGCCAGGTCAGCTGCTGCAGACCATGCTTCCCTGTCATCCACAGGGGGAGCTGGTGACCGCTTCTAAGGCCATCATCGAGAAGGAGTACCAGCCCCATGTCATCGTGAGCACTGCAGGCCCCAACCCCTTCAACACGCTCACCGACCGGGAGCTGGAGGAGTACCGCAGGGAGGTGGAGCGCAAGCAGAAGGGCTCGGAAGGTGAGCACCCGGCCTGGGCCTCCGCCCAGGCCCCTGAGGAGGAGAGCGGGAGCAGGTGTCGGGCGCGTGTCTGTGGTGCGGTCAGACCTTGAGCTGGTTAGGAGCTGCCCAGCACTCCTCTGCACGTCAGCCTGGTCATGGGGCCGGGCTGGGCGGAAGGAGTTGTAGTGCTTGAACTTGGAAAGGGTGCTGGCCAGCAGGGCTGCATCTGAGAGCTGGTGCTAGGGAGATTCAAGTGGGGCCTTCTGAGCATTGTGGGCACCGTCAGAAAACAGCTGGGGAAGGGCTGGGGCTTTAGCTCAGTGGTGCTGCCGCCTGCCTCTCAAGCACAAGGTCCCAAGTTTGATCCCTGGCACTGAAAAAAAAGAAAACAGTTGGGGGCTTCCCAGAGTGGGGTGAGCCTGCGCTGCTGCCCAGAGTTCTGGGTGCCCACCCATCGGGTGGGGTGCAGTGCTGGTCCTTCGATCGACTTCTGTCCACACGGAGCGATGGGAACAGGCAAGGAGAGTTTGTCAGTTTGGGCTGTGGGAAGCCAGCCTGAGCTGGTTTTCCGTGGTACTGGGAGCAGACCCGGGCCCTCACCTGTGCGAGGCGAGCCCATCCCCAGCGTGTGGTGTTTGCCTCAGGTCAGTGGCGCGTCCTTCTGAGGAGAAGGGGCACAGGCGTGGCCGGCCTCTTGCCTGACTGGAGCTGAGGCCCGAGGGCCTGGTGAGCTTAGGCAGGCGATGAACACTATGGGACCTGGTGATCACGCACTGTTATTAGAAACATTTTTAATGTAAGGAGATTGTTTTTTCAATTAGGGTAATTGCGATGCCTATTTTTCCAGTAGGAGAGGTAGACGTGGAATTTTCTGGATCCAGGATGTGTCCCTGTCTTTCACTCTCTGGTCCTTATCAGCATATTTTAAACAAAACAAAAGGATAAGAGTTGCCAAATTTAAATTGTTGATAGAAGATTCCCTTCCTAAGAAACGAACTGAAGTGGGGGCCGGGCTCTCCAGAGCCGATTCCCCGGGAAGGTTGATCCGAGTCACTGTGTATCCACAGTTGGCTGAGATTTCAGAGCAGCCAGCACCACCCAGTCACAATCCCTGTTGTGGGCAGGGAGCACCCACACGCTGGGCCTGACCATGCTGTGTCTGAGGAGGCTGTGTCAGTCAGCTTTGTGCACACAGCTGAGAGGAAGGAAGCTTTCTTTTGGCTCATGGTTTCAGAGGTTTCAGGCCATGGTCCCATGGCTCCACTCTTGGGCCTGTGGTGAGCAGCTTGTGTGCAGGGGCAGAGTCCTCATGTGATCCTGCAGGACACAGCCTGGGGACCCCCTCCAGTTAAGTCCTGCGTCCTGCAGCAGTGCTGTCAGCAGGCGACCGAGCCCCCGAGCATAGCATTTGGGGCACATCTGTGGTCCAGGCCATTGCAGGGCAAAGGCTCCTGGTCTAAAGCTTTCCCCTTTGTATGCATCTACAGAGAATCTGGACAGCTCTCAAGAACAGAAGGAAAAGAGTCCTCCAGACCAGCCAGCTGTGCCCCACACGCCCCCCAGCACCCCTGTCAAGCTGGAGGAAGGTGAGCCCTGGGCATGTGGAGCCCCGAGGAGGGAGGTGCATGGCCGTGCACACTGGCAGCTGTTCTGTCACCTGAGCACACAGTGTGCGTTTGCATCCAAGCCAGAGCCTCACTTGGCCCCGGAGTCCCCAGCCTCTTTGCCACTATTGTGCTCCGTCCTGAGTAACCGGAGGCCTGGTAGAGTGGGGCTGTTGTGGCCCCATGGGAGGGCAGACTTTCCCAGTGGACCCCAGCACCGTGTCTGGTGTCAGTTTTGCCCGTTGCTTGCACACTTCTCATCCGTCCTGTGTGGAGTCGACACGTTGGTGCCGTCCGCAGTGTGGGCTGCAGGACGAGAGCCCTGGACGCACCTGTTCGCTCTGTGGTGTGCGGTCGGTGCGTCTGTCCCTCGGTCTTGTCCACCCGTGTCTCCCATTCTGTGTCCCCAAGAATGGCTCTGCCCCGTAGTGTAACCAGTGGCTGTGACTGAATGCATAGACTCTCTCCTTGTGCTTCTCTCTCTCGTGGCCGCCTTGCAGCAGGAGGTGGATGTGCTAAAGAGTACCTGTTACCCTAGTAAGTACCGCCGCCTGGCACGCGCCCTCACCTGCCCCCTGCGCTTCGCTTCTGCTGCTGCTTTCTTGTTTCTGAAGATTTGTTTTCTGTTTACTCAAAACACAACAGAGGCCCTCTTTCTCCTATCTGCCCTCCCAGCCTGTCCAGCAGTAGCCATGCACCTGGGTCCCACAGAGTGCCGCGCAGTGCTGCCCAGAGCGCGCTGGGCTTCAGGAGTCCTTAGCTTGGCCTTTCAGCATTGCTTAGAGAGGTTTGGTGTGAAGGTTTTGCCAGACTGGGCTGAGCGTAAACACGAGCTGCTTCCAGCAGAGTGGGCTCTGCCACTTAATGCCCTGATTGTTGGACCTGTGCCTAAACGGAGACTCGTAATTTGAAGTGGGCTGAAGAGCAGTTCTTGGTGCTTTTTAAGGGATGTGAAGCTGGGTGTGGTGGCGCACACCGGAATCCCAGTCCTCTAGGAGGCTGAGGCAGGGAGGTCACAAGTTCAGGCTCAGCCTCGGCAACTGAGTGGCTTAGCAAGGCCCTGTCTTAAAAAAAAAAGAGGGTCTGGGAATGTAGCTCAGTGCAAAGCCCTGGGTTAAACCCTCAGTAACACAACAAACAAAACAACAACACGGAACATGTGGTCAGATGACCAGTTCTCCCGAATGTGCGGCACAGCCTCCGTCTTGGGTATCAGCTGCCACAGCTTGGCCAGGGTGGGGCAGTGCCCACAGCATGCCCACAGCTCTCCCTCCAAGCGTGGCACTGAGTTATATCTGGCAGAGTGCAGCTCGCGGGGTGCCCTTCAGGGGCTCCTCCAGCCCCCCTAGGCTGCAGCAGGGAGGGCTTGGGGCCGGTGCTCCTGTAGCCAGGGTGCTCGAAATCTGCTTAGCTCAGCTGCTCCTGTCCTGGTGTTTGGCGAAATTTAAGTACTGAACCATTTGGTGTTGCCTAACATGCCAGCCGTGTGTAACTCCAGATTCTTAAAAATTAGTCTACAACACTGGGGTCCCTGGGGTCAGTGGAGACAGGCCATGGTGCATCTCAGCCTGGGGCTCTTCCTCCTTCGCTCCAGCCCTTGTGAATCAGTCCACTGGCTGCCCCGCGGACACGCGCTGCTGTGGGACCAGATTTAGGCTGAATGTCAGGATTAATACCTGGCAAAGCTCTCTTCCTTGTTGGTGGCCCAGCTTGCCCCATGCTGTCGGGCCTGAGGCCTGGCATCGTCAGCGTGCTCCCCGGAGGGCACGAGAGCCCCCAGGCTGGGTGTACGTTTTCTAACGCTGGCTCTCTGCAACCCTCACGTAGAGAAGGCTATGCAGAGTGGCTGTCTTGGAACAGGATAAAGTGGCAGTCCCGGAACTGGACCCCCGAGTCAGGCTGCTGGCTCTCACTGTCTTGCACCCCCCCACCAGACCTCCTGCAGGAGCCGCCCTCTGCGGATGACAGTGACGCTGCCACCTTCAAGCCGACGCTCCCCGACCTGTCCCCCGACGAGCCTTCAGAAGCACTGGGCTTCCCACCGGTGGAGGAGGAGGCCCGTGACCCTCCCCGGGCCCCTGCGGCAGCAGAGCCAGAGCCAGCCTCGGCCCCAGCTGCTGAAGAGGCAGCCTCCCCAGCTGCCGAGGAGGGGTCTGCTGCGGACCCCGGCAGCGACGGGTCCCCAGGCAAGTCTCCCTCCAAGAAGAAGAAGAAGTTCCGCACCCCCTCCTTCCTGAAGAAGAGCAAGAAGCGGAGTGACTCCTGAAGGCGCCGCACACTGTCATGTCTGAAGCAACTGGCCCCGCCAGCGTCCGATCGTGTCGTGTTCTGTCCGCTTGTGTAATGGAATGCAAAAAGCCGAGCCCTCATGTAGCTAGAGCCCCACCCTGTGCGACCAGCCCCTGCAGAACGGTGATGGGTGTCTGGCGGCCTGGTCCTGTGAGCCCTGTTCCCCTGGGAGGGGTGCCCGTCATGGCTGTGGCCGCAAGGTCCCCGAGGCCTTGGCAGCTCTGGTCCCAGGTGTGCCCTCCTGAGCCCGACCTCTCCTGCTCCTCGTGATGTGACGCGTCCTGTCCCTGCTCGGCTTCCCAGCCCAGGTGTCTCAGGTGACTGAATCCGACCCGTGGCTTCTGCTGGCAGCACCCGCGCAGTGGTCCCTTTCCCCTGCACGCGGCCCCGTCTCGTGGATGCTCTTGCATGCCCACCATGGCCTGGGCTGCGGCTCCCTGCAGAGCCGCGCCGGGCCTGTGGCTGGCCCCAGTGAGCCCAGCACAACACTATGCATGGTCTCCCTGGTGACCCTGACCACAGCCAGATTCAGGAGTGCCCGGCGACCTTGCTCACTGGGTCTCTGTCACAGGGGAGGGATTCCGGGGGGAAGAGTCCTTTCTAGAATTTTCTTTCAGCAGGTTTGCCATTTAGCCTTTTTGACTGTGAACATGAACAGCTGTTTTGTTAGTTTTCTCTTTAGAACCCATGGCAGACTGTTGTGGAGCACTGGTCACCTGGTTTGGAGTGGGGACTGTCCCCACCTTACCTCAGCCTGAGGGCACTCTGGTTTCGATGAACGTAACTTGAGGTGGAAATTGGCCCGTGCCCCACCTAACACAGGGCCACCTGTGGACCCCGCGCCTTCTCCCCCGTGTAGATAGTGCTGGGGATTTTCCCATCTGTGAGGCTCGTTGGGAGTGGGTGGGTGGTGACCTGTTTGAGGGCCTGGCCAGTGTGGAAGCCTGTGGGGCCCCAGACACACCCCACAGGGGACAACACCAAGAGAGTCGGTGCCAGAGGCAGGCTTGGACCTTGGTGTGGTGGGCAGAGCCGCCGTAAGCCCCACCCCCTGACTGGTGGCCACCGGGCAGAACCGAGCTGGTGCAGGCTCTGAGCTGCCTGTGGAGGAAGCTCCCCGCCCTCTCCTGGGCTCTTCTCACCCCTCCTCCCCTTCCTCTATCCCACATATGCAGTGACTTTAATTTTCACTTTTGTAGTCTAATTCTTTGTATTACAACATGAAATATAGTTGCATATACGGACCAGACTTGGAGGACAGGTCCTGGACACCCTTTCTTCATTGTAACATGTTTTACTCACAAATAAAACTCTTTAAGCAGTTTCCTTGTCTGAACCTTATTAGCAGTTTTCAAATACCTTTGTTCCCTCAAAGCAGGGTTTCCAGTGTGTGTCACGTTGAGTGAGAACTCAGATATGCTCACCTCTTGGCCAGTCGTCACTAGTTGCTGTAGAATTAGGGAGGCCCTCGTGTGCACCCTGCCCTTCCTGCCTAGAATTTGCTGTGGTGTCTGGGGTGCTGCTGGTCAGGGACACACAGTGAGGCCACAGCCCGAGGCCCTCCCCGCACAGGGACTGAGCCTGGCCTGGGGCTGTGGCTGGTGCTCCCTCTGCTGCAAGGGAGCCCAGTGCTGTGCTGGCCATAACCCCAAGAGCTGCCTGGCCCTGTGCCTGTGGGTGAGCGGCAGGGCAGAGCTGTCCTGGAGAGAATGCTGGTACAAAAGAGCTGCTTTATTTGTCATGAAAAAGCCTGGCCCAGGGCCTGAGCCACTGAGCCTGAACGCACACGCAACCCTGAAGGCTGTGGCGTCACTGAGCCTGCTCAGGCCTGGAGGAGTGAGGACAATGGGGCGAGGCAGCTGGGGCACTGCCCAGACTCCCTGCTGCGGGACTGGAGCAGAGTGGTGGCTGCCTCCCCAGGCCCCTGGCTGGGCAGGGCGGGAAGGGGTCTCCGGCAGTGGGGAGTGGTCCCGAAGGTCCCCATCGAGCAGGCACTTCGGCTACTCAGCCTTGAGCTCAGGTGTTGGGTGCCTCAGCTTCCGCAGGAGGAAGACAGGGAGCAGGAAGAGCCCCGCACACACGGTGAAGCAGGCCTGGGCCCCAGCCAGCCAGTACACTGTGGAGAGGGGTCGGCGCAGCCCATGCCCGTGTGACCGAGAGCGTGCTGGGGGAGGCTGGGCACCGCGCGTCCTCAGTACCACTCCACCCTTACCTGAGGCAGCCACCACGGGCCCCACTCCCCTGGCCAGGGCGCCCAGGCTCCGCAGAGTGCCCATGACTGTGCCCTTCTGCCCCGGTGAGCCTGTGGGGAGAGCCTGTCAGGTGCCTGGGGTGCCTCCCACCTCCCAGCCCGGCAGCCTCTGGAAGGGAGGGGCTCACCATAGCCGGCGACCATGGAGGACAGGCAGGGCACCACAACCGCGGCTGCTGTGGGTAGTGTGGGAGAGGCTGTCAGCCTGGGGCTGCAGGTGTCCCCTCCCGCCTGCGGGGCACTCACCAAAGGAGTAGAGCAGCAGCCCCAGCCCCAGCACGGGCAGGGAGCACCCCCAGCCAATGAGGAGGAAGGCCGGCACCAGCAGCAGCATGGCCTGTGGGGCACGGTGAGCACAGCAGCCTCAGCACCCAGCTGATGCCCGGCCCTGCCCAGGGCACCACCTGCTGCCCACCACAGAGAGCTGTACCCGCTTCACGGCTGTGACTTCTCTGCCAGGGCGGATCCGCCGGGCGTAGGTGCCCTGGATGGTGGCCATGGTGAGGCCGATGAAGAAGAACATCTTGCCCTGCTGTAGGCTGTGAGGCAGAGTGAGTGCAGGCCATGGGCCACCGGCCTTGGGGACAGGGGCTGGCAGAGGCCCCTGGGGTGGGCTGGGGGCATGCTCCGAGGCCAGGCATCCCTGCCGACTCACCTGGTGAACTGGAAGCGCTGGTGTGCCAGGAAGCTCAGGGTGTACTCCAGGCCGGAGAACAGGAAGAGGTAGAGGAAGTAGACCAGGCCCAGGCGGCGCAGGCTGCAGAGCCCTGTGGGGCAGTGGGGCGCAGGGGGCGAGTTGCTGCTCAGGCCATCTGGGGGGCGAGGGGGAGCGGTGCAGGGAGGGGCGGGCTCCTTACCGTCTCCGCTAGGGGGGTCCCGGCCATGGGCAACAGCTGAGAACTGGAGGAGGGCCAGGGGGCTGAGCAGGTCAGCAGCTGCGCGGAAGCCCAGGGCGACAGAGGGTGCCTGTGGAGGGGTAGGGAAAGCCTGGCAGAAGCCTGGGCGTGTGGCCTGGTATTCTAAGGGCCCCGTCGGGACAGGGCCCCTGGGGAGCAGTGGGCCCAACAGCCTCTGGACGACAGGAGGGTACCCGGCCCTCGGGGGACCTCCTCCAGGCCCTCACACCTATGGGCCCTGCACCAGCCTACCCGCTTCTCTGGGGGCAGCGTCTCTGGCAGAAAGCAGAGGATGAAAAGCAGGTCTGACACTGAGAAGAGCAGGCTGAGCCAGGGCGCCATCTCCACGGGCAGGGAGGCCCCGAGCATGGGGCCCAGCGTGAAGGCCGAGGAGAAGGCCACCCCGATGACTGCCTGGGGAGAAGGCTGCCTGAGTTGGGGGAGCAAGGCCTGGGGTCTCCACCCGGGCCTGGCACGCACTCACCATGCCCTGGCTGCGGGCTGACGGCGAGCCCAGGTCAGCGACGATGGCTGTGGAGAGGCTGACGTTCCCTTTGCTGATGCCCCCAATCACCCTGGAGGCCAGGAAGGCAGCGAAGCTCCGAGACGCAGCCCACACGGCATAGGAGGTGGCCAGGCCCATCTGTGGGGACAGGCCAGGGCCACCTGTGTCCCCAGTGCAGTGCCGGACAGCTGGCTCAGCCACTGGAGCCGTGAGGAAGCGCAGCGGCCCTTGCTCCCCGCCGCCCGGCCAGCCCCACCCTGTGGGCACGGTGCCGCACGCACCAGGGACAGCAGCATCATGGGGCGCCTGCCCACGAAGTCCGATGCGGCCCCGGTGAGCGGCGCAGAGAGGAACTGCAGGAGGGAGAAGCCGGAGCCAATGAGACCTGAACGGGAGACAGAGGGCACCGTCAGGGCTGCCGTCCCACACGGGGACGGCCCCGAGCGAGGCCAAGGAGGACAGGATGTAGAAGCCCGCAGGACAAGAAGACTGCGACTCACAGGGGCCGAGGAGTGAGGAGGACCAAGAAACCAGGGGACCCAGGCTGCACCAGGCCCCCAGGCAGGGTCAGCCTGGCCACCGGCTCGGCCGTACCTCCGAACAGGACGCTGTTGTACCTCTTCTCCGCTGGCATCCCGATGGCCGTGGCGAACCAGTCCACCCCGCGCTGCCACGAGGCGTACAGCGGGTCCTGGGGAGAGAAGCGCCGGGCTGGGAGGGCTGGGAGGGCTGGGAGGCGGGATGGCTGGGTGGGGGCCCCGGGGACCCGCCCGGGAGCACCCGGCTCACGTGCGCGCGGCCGTGGCTCTCCAGCAGCGCGGGCAGCAGCGGCAGCAGCAGCGAGAAGGCCAGCAGGTCCAGCAGCAGCCCAAGGAACAGCACGGCCAGCACGCGGCGCGCCGGCTGCGGGCGGATGGGCGGCCGCGGGGTGCAGCAGGCGCCCGGCGACTCCATGGCGGCTCCCCAGCCTGCAGGGCGGGGGCCCGGGGCGGTGAGGACCCACGACCCGGGGAGGCCCAGCCCACCCCGCTCCGGCACGCCTGCCCTCAGCCGGCGCGGGGGTCGGGAGGGATCGGCGGGCACTCGCACTCTGCTGCTTGGCGGGGAGCCGCCACTCCCACCCCACCCCCGGGGCAGCCTGACCGGCGAGAGCCGCCACTCCCACCCCACCCCCGGGGCAGCCTGACCGGCGAGAGGCGCGGGAGCGACGCACCTGTGCGGACCTGCCCCCTGATGCTGATGAACGCACAGAGGGACAAACGGAGACGGAAGGATGGACGGACGCGGGGCGGGGTATCTCCGGAAGTCACGGCCCGTGCCCGCCCGCCCCTTCCGGCCGCGGCCGGGAGGAGATCAGAGCCTGGGCCTGGGCCACCTCCCTCTTCCCTTCTGGTTTTAAAATCCTGCCAGTGGAGCAGGCGCGAAGCGGTTCCCCAGGGCCGAGCGCCAGAGTGCTGTCTGCCCAGCCCTGCCTGCCCTGGCTCACACCCATTTAGACCGGAAGTCAGAGTCACACCTCTGCCCAGTAGAGGCAGCTATTCCTCCCACAGCCCCAAGGACAGTACTGCCGGAGCTTTCCCCGAAGCACACACGTGGGGGGCTGCACCATGCCACCCCCAGCACTATATCCTCAAGGACTGAACAACAAGGCCTCCGTCGGGTGGACAGCCTGACCCCTGGCCGCGGGCCACTGCTTCCTACCCAGTTCTTTCCTTCTCGTGACAGTGGGGAGGTTTCCCTACAAAGGGACTTGTGAATTTGGGTAACAGTGGTGTGCCACGAGTTTATGGGGAAGAAATAAGGCTGACTGGCATCTGCAGCTTGGCCCTGTGCAGCTGCAAGGCGACAGGCAGCCTGTTTTGTGGTTGTGTAGTCCTGTACCCAGCAAATGAGATAGACTCTGGCCGGGGATTTAGCTCAGTGGTTCCGGTGCCTGCCTCGCAAGCACAAGGTCCCGAGTTCGATCCCCGGTACAAAAAAAAAAAAGAGAGACTCCGGCTGGTCAAACCCAGGTGCTCTGGGCAGCCTTGGCTTGAGCCTGGTATGCCACCAGGAGGCGCTCTGCACTCGCACTGTGCTCCGCTAAGGGAGACTGTTAGCTACATAAACCTGCTGGTCCAGCTGTCTCAAAGGCATCCTGGGCTGCCCTGCCATGGCCCGGACACCTCCCCAAACCAAATCAGCTATCCCAGCAGCCTTCTCATTGGTGAGAGATCCTACACCTCATTAGAAGACCCAGGAAACAGGTGACAAGGCCCTGTCTGGACACGACAGCCCAAGCACACACTTGGTTGTGTGCTGCTTCATGATGGCACTTGGGCTGAGGAAAGGGCAGTTCAGCAATGGCACTGTGCAAACATCACGGCCCATCCCTACACAAACTAAGATGGCAGCAAGGGTGACGGCCCTAGGAGCTGCAAGGCACAGGATGTCCCACGCCGAGATGTCAACACATGGCACAACTGTCTGGGCACAGAGTGCTCCCAGGATGGCTCATCCCAAGGGTGAGTCTGGGCTCATCTGGAGAGGGGGCTGACAGGGATGCAAGCACAGGAAGCCCGTCTGGGCCAGCGTCACAGCACCCTTTGTACTTTCAACAGGCAACGCGTCCAGGCCTCGTTTACAAAGCGTTTATTTATTTCTTGAACTTTTTCCTCTTTAGAGCCTTCCATTCACCTTCCTGTGTAGCCAGGCTATTAAACAGTTGCTTTACTTTTCTTTTTCTTTCCGCATCCCTAAAAGAAAAGACCAAAGTTTTGGGAAGATGTCTTGCCCTTTTCCCTCACTGACCTGCTGACAGTTAGAACCACACCGGCCAGCGCCCAGCAGCCCCAGCCCCCAGCCCCCGCCCCCAGCCCCAGGCCCCAGCCCCAGCCCCCAGCCCCTAGCCCACCGAGGATGCTGGGCAGCCGGTGTGGAAACCCCAGCTGTGGGCAGTGCCACGCCCAGGAGTGGCGTGGGCGGCAGTCAGGCCTACCCCGCCCCGACACACAGGCCTCCTCACCGTTCCATGATCTCGGAGAGCTGCATCCTGGCCAGGAACTGGTTGTCCTTCCGGATCTCCCGGATGGCACCTTTAAACTCCCGCTTGTGTTTATGGATCAACCGCTTCCTCTCCTGCTCCTCCTTGGTGCTGCCTTGCTTCCTTCCAAACTCAAGGCTGGAATTGGAACGGCAACAGCATTAGGGAGGCCAGAACAAGTCTGTCCCGGCTGTTAGCCAGAGGCTGCTGCAACTGTGGCCTCTCCCGGGGTCACAGGCTGCACCCGCAGAACGAGCAGACAGACTCCCCTCTGCCCTCCCAGGGCCACTTGACACTCACACTCTCACCAGCCGGGGGGTGAAGAGCTTCAGGGGGACCGGCTTGCTCTTCTCACAGATTAGCGGCCGGCAGAGCTGCGTCTGGTTTTCTATATCTGTCAGTATGCTCTGGGCCAGCTCCTGGAAAACGACGAGGGGTGCTGTGACTGCCCAGGCTGGGCATCCTTGGGCTTGTGGCCAAGCTAGCGTGGACAGGTGGGACATCTGTACAGCCACCACGGCCCACAGGTGGCACAGCTGTCACAGAAGCTGCCCTCTTCTAGATGGGAGGGGACTGCACGAGATGTCCCGATCCTTCCACGCAATTTGACCCATCTGAGGAGAGGCTTGATTCAGAAAGCTGCTCACCAGTCTGCTTCCTGTCCTAGAAACTGTAGGGGAATCCCTGTCTCAGAGCTTTCTGCCACGGGCAGCACTGACCACTTCATGGACGCACACAGGAGCCCCTGCCCCTGCTGAGGTGGCTGCACCCTAGAGACAGGTATGGGGCAGTGGGCAGAGCAACGTGATAGGCATGGATGATGCGGCTGCATCTTCCCGACAGTGCCACATGGCTAAGCACTTTTCTGTGGGTCTTGGGTCCAAAAGTTGCTTGGGCTTCTGGGGAACCTTCTAGAAGTAGCCCAGCAATGCTAGGCCTGTCATCCCTTGCACAGGCATCTCAGGACCCAGGTGCCTGGGTTAGGGTCAGTCTGTGCCTGCACTGCAGCCATCCCTTGGTCTGTCCAGATGCCACACGAGTGCCCAGAAGCCACCAGCCTCGTCACGCCTCAGCCTAAACCCTGCAGGACTAGGGAGCTGCTTTATCCTTCAGATGGACCGGCTGCAGCCATGTTGGCAGGGGCTGGACACAGGCTGACCGGTTGGCTCCACAGGACAACAGCATGGCCTGCACTGGGCTCTGGGGACCCAGCCGGGGCAGCGGGGACGGCATGGGGAAGGGGTGCAGGAGAGCTGCAGGCAGGTGGACAAACACGAGGCAGCCAGGCCCCAAGCTGGGTGCCGCGGTGCACTCTGCCCGCCACTGCAGGGCACGTGGCCCGGAGGGGATGTCAGCTCCAATCCCTGAGGATCTGCGTACACAGGAGGGGTGGAGAGCAGCAGGACGGGCACTGGGGCTCTCCAGCTTGGTGCCTGGGTAGGCACCCCCGAGGCCAGGAGGTCTCACCTGCAGCTCTGGGGGGTGGCTGCGCGCTCCTTGGTGCTCCTTGAGGAGGCCTCGGAGGGGCCTGAAGATGGCATGAAAGGATGGCAGCGCACCGTACATGAGTACGCAGCGCCTCAGCAGCGCCAGCCCCGTGGCCAAGCAGGACAGCCTGCGGGAGGCAGGAGGGGCCAGCTGGTCAGTCCCTGACAAACCAAACACCCCAACCACCATCCTGACCCACAGCTCTGAGAAACCCAGTGGGGCCACTCTGGCGCGGCAGGTTCGAGGCTTGCTGGGAACGCGGCCAGGAGCCCACTCGATCCCCCAGGAGGGAGGCAGGTGTCAAAGCGCCAGGCCAGTGGGAAAAGGACTGCCCGGCTCAGCTGCCAAATTACTACTTGCAAAATCAAGCAGGTAACTTTTTAAAATACTGAATTTTTTTCTTTTTTGCAGTACTAGGGATTGGATCCAGGGCCTTGGACTGAACTTATCTGAAGTGTGTGTGCGTGTGTGTGTGTGTGTGTGTGTGTGTGTGTGTGTGTATTTTTTTTTTTTAAACTGGGGATTGAACTCAGGACCTTGTGCTTGTGAGGCAGGCATGGAGCCACTAAGCTAAATCCCCAGTCCTGCACAGTCTTTTTTTTAAAAAAAATTTATTTTGAGACAGGTCCTTGGTAAATCACAAAGTTACCCAGGCTGTGCTTAAACTCGAAATCCTGCTGGGTCAGCCTCCCAGGGTGCTGGGATTATGGCAAATGCCACCTCTCCCAGCTGAAAACAATGCACAATTTGGGGAAAAACTTCCCTTGACATCAAGATGCCTCACAAAACTTTTGAATCTGACAGAACCAAATGGTCATGGGGGCATAAGAGGTAAAAACACGGAGTTCCTGGCAACAAACAGGAAGTGCCCATGTCTCCCGGTTTCTAGGGTGTGGCCTGCACGTACCTGACGTGGTTGGCCTCAGCCGTGGTCAGGGCGCGTGGCCCACTGGCCCAGTGCAGGGGGAGACTTCCCCTCTGCCACGTAGCCACGTCGTCCTCCGAGGAGAGCAAGAGCAATTCAGAATTCTTCCCATGCGGTCTGAAAGGGTGCACCAGCATGGAGCCTGAATTCCAAGGGCAACAGGACAGAGATGAGCCAGGTATGACCGTCTTGCAGGCCCACTCCACAGTGCCCAGGCCTCTACAGGACCCTGGTCAGGCTGCAGAGCCTCAGCAGCCATGGGCGGAAGCTCTGGCAGTAGTGGCCAGAGCTATGGCCCGAGCCCACCCTGGAGGCCACCAGCAAAACTTCCCCTGGGCCCACTGCGTGTCATAGGTGGCTCTGTGCTCAGGCCACACCAAGGCCAACCAGACTGCCCCGTGGGGGACACGGGCAGCACACACACCCACAGAAGCAAACCAGGAGGACAGGAGAGCGAAAACGGACAGCAGAGAAAGAGGTGCAGTGAGGATGGTGTGTGGGGGGCAGGTGGGTTCAGCAATGGCATCGCTGAAGACCTGGGCGATGCGGAGTCACCCGGTTATCCCTTAGAAGACCGCCAGGCCAAGAGACAGGCTGCTGTGGGAGCGCCCAGGCCCCGCTCCACAAAAGGCAGCTGCACAGAGGGGGACAGATGTTGGCTCTCCACCCCAGCAGCCTCCACACAGGGCCACGCCTCTCTGTGCCCCACACGTGCGCAGGACTCCCAGGACAGAAGGCAGGCTGGAGACGGGTGTCAGACAAGGTGAAATCGAGGCCCTGACTAGCAGCCACTGTGCCACGCCTTCAAGAGGACTGCCACACGTGGAGCGTGCAGCTCCGCGGGCAGCCTGGTCTCAGGCAGCCTGGGCAGAGAGCATCTCCCATCCAGGCTGATGCTCAGGCTGCAAGCACCCAGGGAGCAGCAGAAGGGGTGTGGGCAGCACCCCCAGTGCCACCTGAGGACTCAGGAGCGCGCTACACACAGCACTGTACACTGCACAGGGCAGTGCTGGCCACATGACTACAAAAGTGACTGAATCTTTGTCACATTACAAACAGTAAAAGAGGCAGGCAGGGCGGCGCAGAGCCACAGTTCTGGGGACTTGTGAAGCGGAGGCAAGAGTATCACCTGAGCCCAGGAGTTTTAGGCCGGCCTGAGCAACACAGGCTGCATTAAAAAAGCAAAAATGGGAGCTGGTGCACAGTGGTGCATGCCTGTAATCCCAGCACTCAGGAGGCTGAAACAGGAGGACTGCCACAAGTTCAAGGCCAGTCTGGGCTACACAGAGAGTTCCAGGCCAGGCTGAGCTATACAGTGAAACCCTATCTCAAAAACCACCCCTAAGTCTGTTCGGCAAGGCCTGGGCTTCAGAAGGTAGCACCCTCTTCACACAGGAAAAAGAAAGACAAGAAAAAATGGTAAATAGGTAACCCTGATCTTCACACTGTATTTTACTTCACCCCAAATATTTCAATGCATAATCTAAAACCCGGTGAACCATGTGACGTGTGTGGCGCCAGGTCCGTGCTTCCTCTCCGCAGGGTACCCTCAGTCTAGGCCGCCACGGTGGCTGCTGCCAGGCTGAGTGGCACAGGAGCCCACCAGGCCAGCTCTGAACCCGAGGGAGGGACGTGACACTCGTCCACGCAGAGAAAACTCAGGCCATCCCGGAGGGCAGGAATTCAGAATTTCCCATCTTTTCTCTCCTTTTCTATAAGCTAAATTTTCTACAACAAATGTGAATGAATTACTTTTAAAACATCCCAAAGTATATTTCCAAAAAGCTCCTGCAGATCAACTCACCGTGGCTTTGCTTGTTTGGAGCTGCGATGTAGAGAATCCCAAGGAGAAAATTCACAAGCTCAGGTATGAACCTCCGAGACAGAGACACGTAGTCCAGGAAGAGGCAGCACACGAACAGGCCTTTTACCACGTCTCGGAGGGACAGCACGGGGCACTGGGGAGGAGCCATGGGGCTGGTGACGGGCACCTGGGTCCCCAGGCCACGTGGGGGCCCTGCGCCCGGGCAGCGGCAGCACTCCCTGAACCCCCGCCATTCGCAGGGTGCAGTTCCTTCAGCCACACACCAGACACAGAGAAAGGAACCATCCGCACCTTCCCCCAAAAGGGAGCAGAGTTCCCGCAGCCCGGCAGCTTTACCACAAACCTGAAAGGCTGTTCCCACCTCTCCCTCCACTGCCGACTGCTAAATCAGACGCAGGCTGCTGGGCAGAGCGACCACTCCTGATTCCCTTGCGGGCCTCAGGCCCCTGCTCTGTCCACGCACCCCCAAGGGACACAGGACGGCCCGCTGTTCGTGGAAGAGGACCCACCTTGGTGAGGATCTGGCTCATGCACATCAGGGCAGGGGTCACGACAGGGTGCCGGAAGTCGGAAGTTGGAAACAACAGCCCGGCAATTTTCAAGTAGATGAGCTGGAAAGAAAGCATCACCGTCATCACACAGATTCCGGAATGTCCAATGCAGTCCAAAACAGGGTCTATTAGAGGGGCCCGGGCGGGGGGGTGTGTGTGTGTGTGGCTGGGGTGGCTGATCCCTCCCACTGTCCCACTCCGCTGGTACCCACTCCTCCCACGCAGCCAGACTCCACCCAGGTGCCAGTGCTGCTGGCTCTGGTGTAACTTGTCCTATTCTTGTGAAAAGTTCTGCTGTGTTTGCTAAGGCTGCTTGTAAGTTTCTCAGTGACAGTGTGAAAAGCTTCTGTGAAAAAGGAAACGAGAGCAGCAGGTGTGGAGCTTCCCGGCAGCAGGCTGGTTTTGCAGACATCTGCTCTGCAAGCTGTGCTCAGTATCCTGCCACGGGTGTGAGGCAGGGGTCGGCAGCTTCCCTGGGCGTGGCCCTGCTGGGGTGCCTGCCGTCCAGGAGCTGCCACCTGTCGCCATCACAGGGGACATGCCCTGGCCCACGTCAGGTGGAGACAGGCGCAGTGCATGCAGGGTAGAGGCTGCCTCCCTCAGCAGGGACGTGAGCTCTGACAGCAGGGGTGGATAGGAGCTGGAGTGTGGCCAGGGCCTCCAGAGCGTGACTTCCACAGTGGCGAAACTGTCTCCTTCCTGGCCCATGAGCAACGGCGTTCCACCGGCTCACTTTTATTATGAAACATGCAACAGCAAAACTACCGTGCAGAGCCGGCAGGTAAGCTGGGGATTGCCTGTGCAGCTCAGCTGTGACGCAGAACCTGTCACCAAGAGGTGCAGCCGAACAGAATCTGCAAAGGCTGGAAGAGGCTGTGCACAGGAAGCGGCTCCCCCTGAACACGTGGCAACACCAAGCCCCAGCACTGCTGTGCATACCGGCAGGGACGTGAGGAAGCTGTGGGTTACGGACGTGGGGGAGAGAGCGGTGCCCAGAGCGTCGGGGGAGGAGCGCGCGTGAGGCGGGAGCCTCTGCAAGTGCCCAGTGTGGACGGCGGGCACAGCAGCAGCCTCGCCAGGCTCCACGGTGGGGAGGAGACACCGTGCTCACTACGCAGGGGCCCATGCCACAGAGGAGCACAGGTGGCGAGGTGTGGGCGCCGCAGCTGCAAACCTGGGGTGAGAAGGGCTGAGAACAGCCCCAGCACAGAGCCCCATTCCACGAAGAGGGCAGGGCCGGGTGCCTCAGGGAGCCGTCATGGGCATGGCCTCATCCCAGCCCTGCTGACGCCACTGGCAGGGACCAGACTCCTGGTGGCTGCAGGCAATGACCCGATGGACCTCGCTCCTGCTTACCACATCCAAGCCCGGCAACGCGGCCCGGCCCCTGGTCTCGATCATCTCCTCCATCTCGTGCATGGCGTCTCGGAGAACGAACTGCATGGAGCTGCTTGCAGACTCGGGAAACATCTGGCAGAGGTTATACAGCTGCCTGTTAAGCAGACACAGTCAGTGGAGAATGATTCCAGACGGCAGCACAGGAGCGCCGAGAGCTAGGATCCCCCAAAAGGCCCCGGAGGCCCCCCTTTCAGTTTCCTTTCTCCTGTTACCAGGGCTGAACCAGGGCCTCCCAGTGCTGCACTGCTGAGCTGCCTCAGCCCATGGGTCCGCTCCTGCCCTGCCGGTACCAGTCGGCCTCCTGGGTGACCAGGTCACTTTCCAACAGTGCGTCAGGGCAGTCTGCACTCATCTTTGCCGCCTCCTGAAACTCTGCTCACAGCGTTGTTAAGTGGCAGCTTGAGAATGTCCCTCTCCGTGCTGTGCACACCGCCGGCATACCCTTCAGCCCCAGGCCTTCGCCCTGCACACAGAACCCTCCTCCTCCCACCTCCCACCTCCTGCAGACGCAGACGCAGACGCAGACGCAGACGCTGCCGCAGAGGGCCTGCCCAGCACACGGCCAGAAGTGGCCTGGAGCCCAGGGCCAGCACAAGCCTGAGGGTGCTGCACCCTTGTAACGGTTTGTACCTAGGTGTCCCCAAAGTCTCATCCAGTAGGTGCTGAATCTAGAGTGTGTGGTGCTGGGATTAAGTGCGTGTGATTATTAATCTGCACTGATTGGTCTGGCCCCGCCCTAGTCCCGGTAGCCTGGATGAGGTAAAAGGGGCAGAAAGACTAAGGTTCCCTTGCTGCTTTTGCTGTCTTCCCCCACCATGAACTGCTGCCCCTCTGCCATGCAGCACCCGGCCTTGGGGCCAGCCCACTATGGACCGAAACCCCTGCAAACTGAGAGCGAAATCAACCTTTTCCCTTTAACTCTGGGCGTCGGGGATTCTGTCTCAGCGGTGAGAAGAGCACCTAAGACAGCCGTGGTATTGTTCCAGCCTCAGAACTGGGAGCCGGGGCCCCACAGAGACCTAAGCGCCTTCGGGACACGGCCGGGCGGCCCAGCCCTGAGGCACAGGTGTGAGGCTCAGGTCCCAGAGCAACAGCAGGACACCACCCACTACATCCCAGACGCTGCAGCGTAACACAAGCTCTGGCCACCAAGACTATCAAAAAATCTGAACAGCTCGGCTGCTTTAAAGTCAACTTGTTTGTGATTAGCAGCAAGTACCGTCTCTGTGGAGATGGCGCAGCGTGCGTCAGAGTGGGACGCTGTCACGAGGCCAATGTGGCGGGTCCACGTGAGAGGCCCTGCCTGCCACGCTACCTCAATGACCCCACAGTGCTTCGGTCTGACTCTAAGTGGAAAAGTGTTCAATTCGGTCCCATACCCCAGTTTCAGTTTTACTTACAGGACCAATCTATCAATTGCTTTGAGGTCTGGTGGGTCACTGGTAGCCAAATCTCCAACGTATTCCAGAAGGAAGCCAAACAGCTTCTGCAGAGACAGGAACGGGGAAAGGCTGCTCAGTGCTTGGCACCCAGAGTAAAGCTACAGGCACACAACTGTCACTTCACCTTGCCCAGCCCAAGCCGTGGGGCGAAGGACCCAGGGCCAGATACTGCCAGGACCTGCTGGGCACAGGGAGGCATGAGCATGTGAGCAAAGGGCCAGGCCATCACACTCCACAACAGCGGATAAACTGACTTGATTATCAAATGAAAGGCAGAGCGGTGCAGCGCGCTCCAGCCACGGCAGAAACACACTGTGGGTGAGGCTAGTTCTCGACTTACCCAGGAAGTCTCGCCCCTCAGTGGCCGCACGAGGCTGTCTCCTCATGTGTGACTCGTGGGTCACAGGGCTGCCTCGCTAACCCTGCCGTGGGGACTCAGCAAAGCACACCCCTCCAACGTACCTCCAGTTTTGATTTGTTCCCCACAGCAAGACTCGGATGGTTGCATTTCTGAATTCTCTCCACCACCAGAAGCTGCTCCTCCACTGACCTTCCCGACAGCAGCAATCTCAGCTCCTCGCAGGACTCGGGTGCTGCGCGGAGAATGGAGGAGACAGCGTTCCACACGAGAGTGGTCCCCCAGCTGCTGGCCCAGGGCAAGTGAAACCCCATCTTCAGCTTTGCCGAGATACCGTAACACACCCCTGAGGTGAGTCCTCGTGTGACCTTGGCTACACCCCACACCTGGCCTCCCAGGGTGAGGGGTCTCACTGGGCTACCCGGGAGTGACCGTGAGGACGGCGCCGAGAAGACACGGCTCCCTGCCTTTCCTCAAGTGGGCTTTGCTCACCAGCCCACCAGTCTTGGGGACAGTGCTGGTTTAGGGGCTCGATGCTTCAGAAGGGCGTCACCTGACAGGATGCCCAGCCAGCAGAGACCCCACCGACGGTCCTCTCTGGAAACCACAGTCTGAGCTAGGAGTGTGTAGGCTGGGAAGGTCTCCTCGACGCATAAGACAAAACTATGCGCCATTTCTGTGTAAGGTGCCATTGGGCCAACAGGAGCCCCCGGAATAAGCACAAGGAAATGAACACCAAATCTCCAGGACCACCCGGAGAACGTGGACTCCTGTGACAGGGAAGGCCTAGCCCCACTCCACAGGCCCAGCCCTGCGGGAGGGGCTAGCAAGGCACACACACACGGTGGCCAGGTCCTTGGGGGAGGTCACCCCAAAACACAGGTACCCACTGGCTGTCTACCTGCAAAGGTATAGGGCAGCTCACTTCCAGCAGCTCTGCCAGCTCTCTGACCATGGCTTAGGGATCCTCCGCCTGGAGCCTGACACTGCTCCTCCTCTGGCTTCTCAAGGTCCTCCTCGCTGTCCTCGTTGGAGTCCAGGTCTGAGCAGCTGTCTGGACCCTCGCTCTCCTCCTGGCCCTCCTCCTCCTCCTCATCGCTCTCCTCACCCTCCTCCTCCTCCTCCAGGCTGCTGGCTTCCCTGCTTCGCCCCTCCTGGATATCCTCCACGTTCATCTTTCCATCCTAGGAAGGGAGTATGGAGACAGCATCACTGCACAGATGCAGAGTAGGCAGATGTCCTAACCCGCAGAGTAGGCGGAGGGCCAGGCTCTCACGGCTCGCCCGGGGAGGTTCACGCCCAAGGGTTCATGTGTTGGAGGCTGGTCCTCAGCACCGCACCTTGAGGGGGATGTGGGCCCAGTGCAGGTCCTCAGGTTGGTGAGGCGCTACCCTGGCTGGGGAGTTAAGGGTGCCGTCAAGGTGGCTCTGCTGTCCCTGGGCTTCTCCCGGGGCCCTCCCTCCAGTCCTGCATGGCCACATGACCACTTTCTTCTGCTCATGCTCCTGCCAGCACCATGCCACCCACCACAGGGCCTCAACAGAGTGGAGCAGAAGCTAGCCACACTGTTGAAGTTCCAGAACTTTGAGCTCCACAACCTCTTTTCTTTAAAAAGTCACTGGGCCTCAGGTATGCTGCTGTAATACCCAAAAACTGCCACAAAAGCACAGGGTCTCAGAGTCCTGGCACTGGGACTCTGGGTAAGGGTCAGGCTGGCAGCAGCTGCACGGGTCTGAGATGGGAAGGCGCCTGGCGGCCTCGGGTGTCCACGGTGCGCCAGGTCTGCAGCTTCCTGTGCTGGACTGGGGATGCAGGTGGAGGATGGTGGCACCCTGCTCTGTGGCCTGCACCTAAGAGTGGTCCTGGTCTCCAGCTACCCCAGGTCACCCAGTGTTTCTGTCAGCACCCCACTTCCTGTCTTGTTCCCTATTCTGCTCAAAATGCCAGCCCAGCCTGTCTTCACCCTGGGACCGACTGCTCTACTATACGTGGAGAGACTGATGCAGAACCGCACCATCCTAGAAACTCAGTTATGTGACTAGAAATGTGCAGAATTCTAACCCTGAGCCAGCTCTCCAAGTACTATGCAGAGGTCTCACAGATAGTTAGAAACCATGTGGTAGGTTTTGTTCTGTTTTGCTTTTTGAAATAAGGTCTCACTGCGTGTAGTTCAGGCTGGCTTTGAACTCACTATGTAGCCCAGGCTGGCCTTAAGTTCATGGCAATCCTCCTGCCTCAGTCTCCTGAGTGCTGGGATTACAGGTGTATGTCACTATGCCTGGCTCAAACCCATGTGATTAAAGTATTAGCAGGTCAACATTCGTTAACAGAGTCGGGCCTGTGTGGTTTACGATCCATGGCTATTGTTCCAGTCTTCTCTATGAGATTTACAATAAACAGAACGCTCCAGACAAAGTGCTTTTAAAAGATCAATCTTCTCTGCTAACCCCTTGAGTGAATAGCAGAAAGTGTTTTAAGTTAACAACATCTTACTTTGTAAGAAAGCAAACGCCTGTCATCTCTGTCCAGTATGAAGCCGTCATTTAAATCATCCGCTGACATGTGTCTGGGTTTCTTTGTCTTTTCATCCTCGTCCTTCCCAAGCATTCTTCGAAGTCTTTCAGCCTGAGCAGGAGGGAGAAGGTTTCACCCAGGTGCCTGTGTCAGAGAGACTTGGGTCCCCACTCCTGGGGCCGGGGCATCCAGCCCTTCTCCTCCACCTCAGCCAAACTCGAGGCACTTGCAGCGCTACGGAGAAGGCTTCCTTGTTTCACAGTGAACTGTTAGGTCTGGTGGCAGAAATGCTTTGCGGCCACAAGGATGGGCAGCCTGGCCCTCCGTGGCCTGGTACCAGCCCCAGCCCAGCCTGCGCTGCACTGAGTGCAGCAGGAGGGGCGCCGAAGGCGAAGCAGCGGCCTCTCCGGCTCCCAGACAGGGTACAAGAGCCCTGGGTGTGAGCTCATTAAAGCACCACTTAGAAGAGTGGGTCTATTTCGTTTCTGCTTAAATGCAATGAAGTTTTAAAAACTTTCAATCTATAGAAAAAATTTAGAGGGCAACACTCACCGAACTGTTGGCAGCTGTTTAGGGGTAGAGGATACATAAGGAATGCTCTTTTTTTTTTTTTTTGGTACCGGGGATCAAACTTGGGACCTTGTGCTTGTGAAGCAGGCGGTGGAACCACTGAGCTACATCCCTGGTCCAGGAATGCTCACTTTTTATTTGGTGTACTTGAGTATTCCTTGCATTTTATTTGAAAATTTTGTTTATAGAACCAGAAATAAAAAGAAGTATATGGCTGACCAAATACAAACTAAATACAGATGGTCTTTCAAAAAAAAAAAAGCAGAAAGTCCTGAAAATAGAGGCGGCCCCGCGACAGCTCCCAGGCGTGGCCGCCCCACTGCCCTCGTACCTCCAGCTTCCTGAGCCGCTCCTGCTCCTCCTTCGCCAGCTCCTCTTCCGTCTTCATCCTGTTAGAGGGCTGCGCCTTCATCTCGAAGCCAAGCTCACGAACCATCACGTCATAGGCATCAGGCTAGGTGGAGAGAAGACAGCACATTTTTACTTTTTGGTTTCGAGGATCAAACTTGGGTCCTTGCGCTTGCGCAGCAGGCGGGGAAACCAATGAGCTAAATCCCAGCCCATGACAGCACATTTTTAACACCTTTGTCACAACTGGAGAACAACCCGCACGGCTGCCCTTGCGATACATTCCAGGAAGGGGCTGAGCCACGCAGACTTTTATTCTGGAGGGAAGGCCATTCTGGTCAGCCTCGGGGACGAGAATCATCAGCACTTGAGTCACATGTACTTTTTTGCTCGTAGAAGATTCTCAAAACATCTGCTTTAACAAAAATCCTCACTGTTCATGGAAGTATTAAGCACCAAGCATGGGAAGTCTGGTACCATGGCAGCAATTACACTGGTGACTCGGAGGTATGACGGCTCACAGCGGTGACGCTGAGAACAAGTCCGACTGCCCTGCATCGAGCTACTCAAAAGTGTTTTCCCAACAACTCAGGCAATGTATGATGCAGCAGGAACAACACTGTTACAGGGGATAAACGGGTAACTGCACACGTCACACACCAACATGGAAGGCAGTCGTGGGGAAGTGCAGACATGCCACTGTATGCTCCCACTGTACGCACTTCTCCCCCAGAGAAACCGTGCAATTTAATCCACCTGAAGTGGACACGGAAGTAACCTCAAGTGTACGCCTCTCCAATAGAACACTATCTCAGAGCTGGACACAAACCCTCCACAGAGAGGCAGGCGTAGTGGCGCACGCCTGTGATCCCAACATGCGGGAGGCTGAGGCAGGAGGACTGCTGCGAGTCTAAGGGCAGCCTGGGCTGCACACTGAGTCCCCGAGTCAAAGGAACAACAAAATGAAACTGAAAAAATTCCACTGAAACCCTGTCCTGCTAACAGGAAAGCCAGAAGAAATGCCCTGGCCGCAGTCTGCTCTCTGCAGAGAAGTCGACACTGGTTTCCATCCGACCCCACCTTGGGCTTCTCCTTCTCTCTGTTCTCCGACTTGGGAGTCCTGTGTGACAGAAGAGTCTGGATTTCTTTCCAGTCCTGGTCCAGCTTCTCCGTGAGTTCCAGGGCGTCTTCCCGCTGTGCCTGTTTCTCCCTCTGGGAAGAAGGACACAGGCAGAGGGTGAGTGGTGGGAGGCAGCAAGGCCGGGAAGCAGCACACGCCACTGCGTGAGGACAGCACCGTGGGTGCTGAGGGCAAGGGGACGGGGACTGGCGCCTTAGATGCACGCCAGGAAGTGCCCAGGAAGACCCAGGAAGGCCTGCTGCCAGTGTTCCCCGGGTGCCCGAGCAGGGAGTGCACAGCCCGCCACATGGCCAACACCGCAAGCAGCCGCCGCCCAGGGAAGCGCGAGCTCGGTCTCACTCGGGACACAGAGCACAGGAGACAGATGCTTCCCGTGTTCACACGAGATATACAATGCAGCCTAGAAGGGTATAGGGTGAGCCAGCTGGAACCTGTTCACATCAAGGGCGCCAACTGCCCCACCTTCTCTTGCTTGGACTTTGCAATGAGCTCCTCGATCAGCTCCTTCCGTGACTTTGGCTTGTCCTCCTCTTCCTGCGGAGCAGTCTTTTGAAGGAGCCTAGCTCCACCTCCGAAGTGTGCAGCGGTCAGCTCAGCTGGAGATAAAAGCAGAGACCACCATGGTCGCCCTGGTGTGGGAAGCAGCTGCAGTCCCTCCCCACATCTCTCCAGGAGCAGCCTTCCGAAGTCCACATCCGAGAAGAGATTCTCACACACGGGAGCTGGCACGAGGCCGTAGGCTCAGCACCGGCGCCTAGGGACACCCAAGACAAGCTGCTCCGAGACAATGGCCCCGTTACGTTACCAACTGGACACAAGCCCAGGGACAGAAACACCCAGCACCACTTCCCGTGTTCTCAGGGAAGACTGGCACAGCCAGGAAAACAGGCTGCAACCAGGCTCGGAGGAAGCCCGAGCCCCGCTGGCTCCCCGCACTCCTGTGCAGGGCGCTGGGGGGTGGCTGATTCCTGTCCGGGCCACTCAGTCTCCAGGCCCTGCCCACAGTATGGGTGGAGACCCAGCTGGCCCTGGACTGTGCCCCTCGGGACGGGAGTCATGGCCAGAACCAGTCCCCTCCACCTTGCCTCACCTGCCAGAGACACTATGGGAACTGTGCATTCAGAACACAAACAGTTCTTGCCGGGTGTGGTAGCACATACCTGCAATCCCAGCACTCAGGAGGCTGAGGCAAGAAGACTGCCACGAGTTTGCGGCCACCCTGAACTACGCAGTTGTTCCAAAAAACCAAAAACCAAAACACCAATATTTTAAAATCCAACTGTGGTGGTGCCTCAGCCACTTGGACAGTTGAGGCAGGAGGACTGCAAGTTCAAGGCTAGCCTGGGCACCTTAGTAAGACTCTGTTTCAAAACAACAAAGAGCTGAGGATGTACAGCAGTGCCACCTAGGTACAACTGCCAATACCCACAGTAAATAGTCAAAGAACTATGTCATTAATATAAATATCACTAGTATGAATATAAGATTAAAGTAAAATACAGTGAGCAGTATGGTTTAGTGCATTAGAGCTACCTTTTTTGGGGTTTTTTTTGTGGACAGGGTCTCACTATGTAGCCCAGGCAGGCCTCCAACTCACAGGCAATCCTCCTGCCTCAGCCTCCCAAGTGCTGAGGTCACTGGTCTGCGCTACCACGCCTGGTTAAAAGCATCTACCTTACACCTGAAACTTTCAGGCAACAACTTTTCTGGGTCCGCAGGAAGACCCGGAGGCGTGCCGGCAGTGCTCAGGCCATGTGGCAACCCCGCCCCTCCTACCAGACAAGGCCCCCCGGTCCTCTGCGTCACTGTCGCTGTCCACGATGTCATGGTGCTTCTCGATGTCCGCCAGAGACTGGCCGTAATGCGTCAACTCTTCGTCTTCGTTTAGGTTGTAGATGCTTTTTTTCTCATGATGTCGCTGACAGAAGAGGGGAAAAAATCAGTTGCCTAAAATTACATTTGTTTCCTAGCAAAAAAACAATTGTTTTTGTATGATATGTGAAATATGACGATGGAGCCCAGCCATGTAAGCTTATTCTGGGTCATGTGAAAGATGAAGTAGATGGAACCAGAACTAACAGAGGAGACTTCTGAAATAAACCAGCAGGCCAAGCTACGCTCCTGGTAAATCCCAGTCCTCCCCCAGCAAAGGCTCTCAGCCCTCGCCCTGTCTGGCGAGGGAAGCCGGGGCCTCTGGTAAGGACTCCGGACACGCTGCTGCTCCTTCTGCCTCTTCCACTCGAGGACTGGCATGTGCACAAGGCTGCTTCAGCTCCGGCCTCGCCAGACAGGTGTCGGCTGGAGACCCCTTCCCTGAACCACAGAGCTGAGCGGACTATGGAGACAGAACCTGCTCCCTGAGCGTGGCTTCTGGCAAAATCTACAGCAAAGATTCTCCTCTGACGTCTACCCATACCTGCTGTTCCAGTGCGAACCTCTTCAGCATCTTCTCCTCTGGGCTTATGTCGCTGTTGTATTCCCCAAAGCGCTTATCCTTAAATACGTTGGACTTGTCCCTGTCTTTGTACTCCTTCAGTAAAGTCTGGGTGCGCTGGAAAACAGATCGTATACATCTCACAGAATGTTCCTATGACTCCCACTAAGGGGACGGCAGAACAGTGCGAGCTCTAAAGCTGTTATGCGCTGTGCCATTAAACTCCATCCAGTCTCGTTCATCGGTCGGGACATCTCTGGGACAGGAAAATCGACTTACTCTTGGAGAAAATGGGATAATTCTTTTTCTCTTTAGAGTCTACTTGGCGTTGCTAAAAGAAAGGAGGGTTAAAAAGCTTCAGAGCCCAGCTAAGGACCCCTGGTTTTCTAGCTGCAGCAGCTGCCTGACAACTTAAGAACACGTTTGTGTTAGGCCCTATTCACTTGGGAAAACACAACCCCTTCCACCCTGGAGAAGGATTATTTCCCAGTGAGGATATTCCTAGGAAATGCAGAATTGTGCTTTCATGTGTAATATAAGGCTTTAAACATGTTTATCAAGTGAGGGCATAGTTTATACTTTGTGCTTTGGAATGCCAACAATATTTCAATACAGGCTCAACAACCACGAGCAAGTTCCAACTAATTGTGTATTCTCCCAGGAGCAGCAGGGAGCTGCCTCACCTCCTGGCCTCCATGTCCCCAGTGGGGGCATCTGCGGAGCGAGGCCCCATTGACCTCAGGTAAAAGGATACACCACTTCCTGAGGAGCCCACCAAGGAGGCAGATGGCACAACAGGCAGTGTCAGCTGACCACCCCCCTTCTATTATTGCTCCCTGCCTCAGTTTCCTTAGGGATAAAAGCAAAATAATAGCACAGTAGCACTTCCCTCCTGACGCCGACTGTGAAGATCAAATGTAAACTTCTTGAGCTGGTGCAGTGGTGCACACCTGTAATCCCAGCACTCTGGAGGCTGAGGCAGGAGGATCGACACTAGTTCAGGGCCAGCCTGGGCCACATAGTGAGACCCCGTCTCAAAAAAGTACACTCTTGACACAATGCCTGACCCACTATAAGGGATCAATGACTATCTTAGTAATTATTTTGTAATCACTTTAGATTTGAGGAAACTGAGGCACAACTGTAAAGGTGTGATGCTGGGGCTGCCCTCTACTGACGAACTGCAGTGCTGCCCCTAAGTACCACACCAGCCAACCAGGGGAGAGAAGCCAAAAGGACAGGCAATGCCTCCCACAGGACGGGCACAGCAACAGCCTGGAGGCCCATACCCTGCTGCCAGGCAGACACTTGGACCTCTCCTATGTCCCACTGCCCTCCTCGCCACCCCAGGACCACGGTGTAGCCTGCCCACCCCTCAGGGCTGCATCGAGACTCCCAGGAAGAAGATTCCAACCCTCCTCCTGACTATGCTCTCTGGTCTCTACGGTATTCAGCTGCTTCTGATTTCTTCAAATACCCAGCTTTCTACCTCAGCCAAGCACAGGGAATCAGAGGAGCAGCACGGCCCCACTGGCAGACAGTAGACATCCCAGCCACTCACCCTGCTTGGCCTGTGCGCATGGAAAGCTAACAGAAGTGATGACTTGAGCTGACCTTTAGCCACTTTGGGAGGTAAGGAAGGGCTTTTTTGGGCAAAATAAACTGCAAGACACCAAGCAAGGACAGCAGGCTGAGATCAGACTTCGAAGGAGCCGAGAAGAGCAGCATTTGCAGGAGGCTCACTCATACCCTTGAGGGATGGAGCGCATGCCATCACTTTCTAAACTAGAAAACCATGGCTTAAGTGGTAAAAATGACGTGTCTCTCAGAGGCCACACTACCAACTCCCCATGGCCACATTGCCATCACTGCCCTGGAGCATGTACTGATAGTGTCCTGCTATCATACAGCCTGATCCTTGCACTAAAGATGGTATTTCAATCGATTCAAAGCTCACTGCGGTTGCACACTGTGTGACAGAGTACAGGCTGCAAATCCTTGTTTTTGTGTTTGAGACAGGGTCTGACTACATAGCTCAGCCTGGCCTTGAACTATGTAGTCCATAGTCCAGGCTGGCTTCGAACTCGCAGCAATCCTCCTGCCTCAGCCTCCCGGATGCTGGGATCACAGGTGTGCACCACCATGCCCAGTTCAGACTGCAGACTCCTGAAGGCTGAGACTGAGTCTTGTTTACCTTTACCTCCCCACCTGCTGGAACAGAGCTCAGCTACGTATGATCAGTACCCACACCCAGCACTTGGGAGATTGAACTGGGAGGATCACTTGAGCCCAGTCTTTGGGACCAGCCTGAACAACAGAGAAAGACCCAGTCTCAAAAACATACAAACTCTGCACTCAGTGTAGCTAAAGGCTTGGAGACACTGAATCCGAAATGCAAGCCCCAGCCTTTTATCAGTGGTGTGGCTCACCAGTTGGGAAAGTCATTTGTTCTTCCGGAGCCTTTATTTAGAGACAGGGTCTTACAGTGTAGCCCAGGCCAGACTTAAACTCCCAGTCCTCCTGCCTCAGCCTCCTGAATGCTGCCCCTACAAGCGTGCACCCCCACGGTCACTCTGCTCTGTGCCCTAATTTCTTCACTAATTTACTCACGTGTCTTCCTTAGAGTAAACAATAAACATTGTTTCAAAAATGCCCAAGGAACCAGTCTTGGCAGTCGCATACAGAATGCCTTTTGTTGAACTGAATTTGAAAGGCTGGTACAGGATACTGTTTCGTGCCATAAACACACGAAGGATGGCAGCTATGAGACTTTCCAGAGAAGGGAGCATTTTGGTTACCTCCCAAGGGGCAGGGTCATCTGCTTCAGGGGAGGGACATCCTCCAAAGATCAATGGAGCACCCTACAAGATCCCCACCCACGGTCCCCCAATGGCAGATCCTCAAGGAGCATACTGGGAGTTGCCAGGACCCCCGGGAAGCTCAGAAGGGTTTACCTCCAACAGAGGCAGAGGATCACCGAAACCAAGCAGGTGTGCAAGGTCCCTGGGCGCGGCAGTTTTCCAGCGGGAGATCATCCAGCCCAGGCAAAGGCAGAGGCACGGAGACAGAACCGCCCAGTGCCACGTACGTGTCTCTATTTCCATCTTACAGACGAGGAAACTGAGGAACTGAAAAGACCGCGGCTGGCCCGAGGGCCCGCAGCCACCCCTGGGGGACTCAAGTTCCGGAGGCGTCCCTTACCTTCCTGATGGCCCGCGCGCGCGACACGCCGGGCAGCCCCACGTCGTGGCGCGTCTTCCTGCCTAGGATCTGGAACTTCTGCCTGTTGACTTTCACCTCGAATGGGTTGGGGTTGGCCTTCACCGGAGTCCTGGGGGCTGGCCTCCGCGCCCCGGCCGGCCGGGCCTTCCCCATAGCGCACACTCGAGGGGCGTCGGGCGCCGCTGTCTTCCCGGCCCGGGAAAGGTGACGCAGGCCGAGCGACCAGGTAAACGAGTGCGGTGCCGCAAGACACGCCAATCTCGCCTCGGCTCGCGATAACTGCGCAGTCCCCACCCCACCCCCTGATCTCGCGAAAAGAGGACACGTCCTGGAAGTCACGGACTGGCTTCCGTTCATCTCACGGGCCCCGATTGGCTGAACGACTACAACTCCCAGCAGGCTACGCTCGCGCGACGTCCTGGCGCCGGGTTTCTAGGAGCTGCGGCCCCAACCCCCACCTCCGCTCCGGGAGATAGCTCCGGCGACCTCTTCTGGGAAGCCGTTAGCAGGGAGCCGGCCGCCTCGCGGGTAGCGACGGCGCCCCCTGCCGGTAAGCCCTCTGTGTGGTGGGGCGCGGTTGAGGCTCGGACGCGCGAGCCCGGGCGACTCGATCGAGAGAAATGCGAGCGGCGGCGCGGCGGTGGAGACGGGTCTCCCGGTCGTTGCCCGCTGGAGCCCGCGGCGAGACCTCCCCGGGCTGACCGCGACAACGCCGGCGGCGGAGGCGGCGGGTCCTCTGCCCAGAGGCGCTGTCCGCGGTCGCACGAGGGATGCGCGGCAGCTGCGGCGGTGGCGACCCCTCCCGCCCAGCCTCTCCCACCTTCTCGACCCCGCAGAGTCCACCGGCGGCGGCGGCCGAGGATGGAGCTGCGCAACCTCACGGCCAACGTGGTGCTGCTGAGAGCGCGCCTCGGTGGGTCCACGGGACCCCGCCGCCCCCAGGGAACTGGGGTCCCAGCCGCCGGCCGGGTCCTCGGGAGCGGGTGGACACCCAGGCGGGAGGGGCGGGCAGCGCTGAGGACCCCGGGCAGCGGTGCCTGGGAAGTGGTGAGGTCTCTGACGCCGGATGCTGAAGCCTCCGTGTGCATCTCAGGAGGCAAAAAGCTCAGTTAGAAAGCCTTTGATTTCTCAACACCTTAGAGACCCGAGTCAGACACATCGCTCGGGAATTCCTGAGGTAACAGTTGAGTGTAGCCACGAATTCCATACCAAAGCAAAGCTAGGGCTCAGAAAGACCTGAGACTAAAAAGCAATGAAGGTGTGCTTGTAATCCCAGCTCTCTGCGAGGCTGAGGCAGGAGGATCATAAATTCGAGCCTAGCCTTGGCAACTTAGCAATTTATTAAGTCCCTGACTCAAAATTTTTTTAAAAGATTGGGAATATAGCTCAGTGCAAAGGCCCAACGTTCAGTCCCCAGAACCATTTAAAAAAAACCCAAAACATCCTGCCCCTGTGACCCGTGTCCTGCAGTAAATTTGCATGATTTCGATCTGTTTCTAGACTTTCTGTTCTTTTCTTCTCTCTTACTCCTGTGCCTTTAGTGCAGAGAATGATTTAGTTTAGAAGGCGGGAGAGGTAGCCCAGTGTAGAGTGTGTGCTCAGTGTGCTCAGACGCTCAGACCCAGGGTTCCATCCCCAGCCAGAGGGGTGGAGTTTGAAAACAAAGTCCTCATCCTCTCCTGGAGTTTGTGCAGTAGTCATGGTTTCATGATCGAAAAACTGAAAACGGGATGTTAACACCCTCGCTTTTCAAGTTGCAGTGAAGCACTGGCTGTGCCAGTTGGTCCCGTACTCTGGACTCCGGATCAGTCACAGAGGGGACTCAGCATTGTTGGCAGTCAGGCCTGACTGATAATGGCCTAGATCTGCTTTCTTTTCCCTCTACCTTCATATCTGGGTATGAAGGACAAACAGGAACTATTAATAGGAAACTTCATTATAATACTGCAGAGATTAAATAATGAGGTAGATATAAATGTTCTAAAGATGCCAAAAACATAAAACCAGTATCTTTTTCCACAAAAGCTTAGGACAACAGTAATAATTTCAAAGAAGAGTTTTAATTTTTGTTCATAGAGTATCGTATTAATTCCACAGCACTGTGATTCTAATGAGGCCTGGCTTCTGTGAGCAAGACTGTTATTTATTGTTTTTGGAAGAAGTCTTTATGTATAGTTTTGTTAATATTTTAAAAAATTGAATATGAAATGTTAGAAATACATAGGGCCAGGGATTTAGCTCAGTGGTTCCACTGCCTGCCTCGAAAGCAGAAGGACCCGAGTTCGATCCCTGTTACCAAAAAAAAAGAAATACATAGACATATGCTGAATATTGGTTATAATGTAGGACTGTTTCCCCACGCTCATAACTATTTGTCTGTTTGCTTCAGAGTAACTCCTAAGAAGTAAGTGTGGACACACACCTGTAATCCCAGCACTAGGGGAGGCTGAGGCAGGAAGATCACTAGTTCACACTCAGTCTAGGCAACTTAGTGACTTAGCAAGACCCTGTCTTAAAATAAAAAAGAGTTTGGAGATATAGCTCAGTGTGAACGCCCTGGATTCCATCCCTGGTACCACAAAAAAAAGAGGCCCAAGCGGCAGCCTGGCTTCTCCTAACATGTGAAGATCACAACAAGAAGGCAGTGAAGGATAGGGGCTGGGAATTTAGCTCATTGGTTCCGCCACCTGCCCCGCAAGCACAAGGACCCGAGTTTGATCCCCGGTACCAAAAGAAAAAAGGCACTGCAGGGCCAGGGATTTAGCTCAGTGTCACAGTGCCTGCCTTGCAAAAGCAAAGACCTGAGTTTGATCCCCGGTACCAAAAATAAAAAAAGGCACTGTAAACCAGAAAGTGCCCTGACTGACACCAAGTCAGTTTTGATTTTCGACTTCCTAGCCATCAGAACTGTGAGAAACAAGTTTCTGATGTTTCTGTCTCAATTTACGGTATTTTATTGTAGCAGCCCAAACAGTCTAAGCTGGTCTCAAACAGAAGATTGTTGGAACCTTTCTCCTTTGAAGAAGGTTGGCAGATGCTGCTACCTTCACAGTGTTGTTTGTGACTGTGCCAGGCATGCTTTAAAGAACAGTGAAGTGAACATTTCATTAATAAAATAAAACACAAAATAATCCCTTTTATAGTTTAGAATTTTCCACCTTTAATCTCAGCACTTAGGGGGCTGAGGCAGGAGGATCAATGAGTGTTTGAAGCCAGCCTGGGGTAGTGAGTTCACGGTCCACCTAAAACTGCACAGCAAGGCCCTGTCTCACTACCCCCCAATTTAGGATTTTCTCCACAATACATTTGTTAAGCAACTTAAGACTTTTAATGGTTTAAATAAGCTTAAGTTCCTTTGTGTCATACTTCTCATGAGACCTTAACCCCATTTAAAAAAATTTTTTCTTACCTTTGTTTTTACAGTAAGTATCTGTCATGCAGCCATCAAAAACCTTGCAGTAAATTACACAGGTTTATAGTCCAATTTTGACTCTAGCTTCTTAGAATCAGCCACTTTTCTGACCGCTTTCATGAAGTCTTCCTGAGCTACAGAAATCATAATCAGCACGAATTGCAAACATACCTGCTTCAGTACAAACATTTCTCAGGTCTGCTCCATTAAAGCTATCTGAAAGTTTCAGAATTGCTTCATAATCTATTTCATGGTGCTTTGTAATGGGACCTGCCTGGATGTTCAGTATATCTAATCTTGCTTGTTTGTTTGGTAAATCAATGTATATTTTTCTATTTAATTTTCCTGGACGTAACAATGCAAGATCCAGTGTATCTGGTCTGTTTGTAGCCATGATCTGTTTTAACTCTATGCAGAGTATCGAATCCATGCATCTGATTCAGTAACTCCATTAAAGTTCTCTGAATCTCTATCAGCTGAAGTAGCCTCAGAAAACTGACCACCCGTAAAAATGATGCATGGCTGTTGGTCCCTTGCATAATTAAACATTTCTCTAATCAAATGAGCACTTTCACCAATGTGCTTGTCTACAATAGAACTAGACACAAGCTTTAAGAAATTGCAGTCCAGCTGGCTCGCAACAGCTCATGCCAAGAGTGTTTTGCCTGTGCCTGGTGGTCCGTATAACATACAGCCTTCTGGAGGTACTATTCCTACACGCTGGAACAATTCTGGGTTTGTGAGAGGTAATTCTGTAACCTCTCCTCATTCCCAGATCTGTTCTGATAGCCCTCCAATCTCAGAATAGGAAACATTCACAGGCTCCTCATGCGACATGTTGTAAACCAGTGGGTCTACCTCTCTTGGCAAATATCTCACGACAGTGTAGTCAGATCCAAAGCAACTCTTGTTCCTGGCATTAGCTTTTGTCAAGCTGTCGATGACAATCCACAGCATATCTTGGTCCATTTGTAGCTTTAACAGTGTATTTTTCTTCAATTAATTAAGCACTTCACCCGCAATTTGCCCAACACTTTGTAGGGCCTTCAGATCATTTTCAGACCTTTCATACTGCTTGGCAAGTACTTTTTTTTTGGTACCAGGGATCAAACTGGGGTCCTTGCGCCTGCGAGCCGTTGGCCGAACCCCTGAGCTAAAACCCCAGCCTTGGTAAGTACTTTCCACTGTTACCTTAACGCCTTCAGATCTCCTTGTGCTTCAGCAGCTTCTTGCCGCGGTTCTGAAGCGCCTTATCTCTAAGGTCCCATGGTGAGAAGTCCTCGCTCATAGGCGACCTTAACCCCATTTTAGCTCTTGGAAAACTTCACAGCATCAATGCAGAGAGGTTTATATGATGTGTGCGTCTAAAGTTGGTTTTGGTCTTGTATTGTTATGGATTAGATCTAAAATGCCGCCCCAGATACTCCTGTGTGGAAGGCGACTGGGTCGTGGGGCCCTGTGCTCCTGGGTGAATTCACCCTTGGATGACGGGAGCCCGGATGAGGGGAGCAGCGGCTGGCTGTGCACCAGGCCGCCTGGTGGAGGCAGTCACTGGGGCGTGGCCTGGAAGAATCCTCTCTCTTCCTGAGCACCTTTTCCTCCACCGCGCCCTTCTGCCACCCTGGTCCTGCCCTGGCACCAGGGTGAGTTGACCGACGGACTGAAGCTGTGAGCAGAAATAACCCTCTCTTCAGGTTGTGTGGAGCCGGGTATTTGTCTCCGTGATGGGGAATGTAGTTCTATTCTGATTTCGGGGCATGTTGTCCTAGTAGTTTCTTTAGCACCCAAAACATAGCTAATATACTCTGTTAGCATTAGCACTGTTTTTCTCTGAGGCTTCCTCCTTGGAATTTCTTTGGCTACAAAGAGCTAACTTAAG